GAGGTGGTCAAATTGGCACTGTTCGAAATTGTTGAAGACGCAGAGCTCGACGAGTTCGAAACCGTAGAAGTAGTAAGGGTGGAGAGCGAGGTGGAAGACACGCTAGTGGTCGAAGGTGTTGTCACATTGACAGAAGACACGGAAACACTAACAGACGACAGACTCGTGATAGAAGGCGTCGTAGTATTGATCGAGGACACAGATACGGTGACGGATGACAGACTCGTGATCGATGGAGTTGACAGGCTAGAAACCGATGGAGTCGAAACGCTGATCGAAGACAAGCTGGAGGCAGTGGTCGATAGCGTCGATATGCTGATGGATGATAACGAGACACTGATGGAAGATAGACTGGTAGCCGACGGCGTTGACAGACTGATCGATGACACTGACAGGGTGGTGGCAGATGGTGTGGAAAGGCTGATCGATGACACTGACAGGCTAGAAACTGATGGAGTCGAAACGCTGATCGAAGACAAGCTGATGGAGACAGTGGTCGATGGTGTCGATAGGCTGATGGATGATAACGAGACGCTGATGGAAGATAGACTGGTAGCCGACGGCGTTGACAGACTGATCGATGACACTGACAGGGTGGTGGCAGATGGTGTGGAAAGGCTGATCGATGATACCGACAAGCTCAGAGACGTGCTAGACAACGATGTAATGGTAGTTAGCGTCGTCGACGTAGTGCAATTCGAAATAAGCTTGGCTCCGTTGACGTTCGAATTTGATATGGCACTTCCAACAGAGCTCTTCAAGTAGCAAGGGCCGTCGGGAGACCCTGAAATGTAGGAAACATCCACGCAGTCAGGGTTACTTGCGCATTTTGCCGCACATGCGCTGAGACTGTCGACGTAGACCGGGCCTCCAGAGATGTCGCCTCCGTAATGATCGACTGCGCACTCGATCAAGAATTCGGCGCCACAATCCGCTTGGAGAATGGTGTTGTTCGCCCCGGGACACTTGACGGCAGTGGGCGTCGGCAGCGCATACGATGTGGCTGATGGAGAAATAGTGACAGGATATACCCTGACGGCCCCCCAAACGTCTGAAGCCGTAAGAGCGCTTCCGAGAGAGCTCTTCAAGTAACAAGGGCCTTGATCACCTCCCTGGAGCCATGACACATCAACGCATCCTGTCGTGGAGTCGCACAGAGCAATACACTTCTCCAAGGTTTCGGTATATATTGGGTCTCCTTCGATGTTTCCACCGTAGTGGTCAACAGCACACTCGATTTCGAATAGGTCTCCACTGGCGGCGGTAAAGATCGTGCCATTTGAGCTTGGACAAGAGAGGGGGAGAGATGTCGGTAGGGAGTCCCTACGATCTACTCTGGTGATTGTGTGGTTGGCTGTGCTGTTCGATGCTGTGGCGTTACCGGAACCATTGCACGTGCCGAAACTGCTTTTACATCCTGTACCACAGTGGGCGGTGCTTGATCCACTGGAAAAGGTCAGCTCTCACAGCGACTCGATACTTCTCCTCGTGATCAGTGGGTGTATCTTCACATACCAGTAGCCGTACTCGCTGCAGCAATCACCCCACCTGGAGCCCTTGCAATGATAGCCTGTGTCTCCACCACATGTTCGGTCCGGGGACGTCCTTCCTTTCGTTCCGTCACACCATCCCAAGTCTGGTTGGCATCCATAGCCGCAATAATCAGTGGAAGCGCCGCACTTGTTGTTGGGACCACAGCAGTTTCCGAAGTTTGATCCCATGCATGACACGCCGTTCCCGCAAGATCCATCGTGGCTTGTAGATGCCAATGCCGGTATAGCAGCAGCGACAGCAAAAGCCAGTGACCAATTGAGGACTTTCATTGTGTACTGTCTTTTCGTTTCAGGGGTTGGGAGGGGTAGGAGTAACGAGTGGTGAGGTAATTATCAATACAATTAGTTTACGAGGCACTTAACGAGCGTGCAAAAAAAGACAAGAAGAAAGACAGCTCCACGTTACACATAGGCACAAGAGGGAGGATAAGGAAAAACCACGAGGATGGGAGCACGTTGGCGTTATAAAGACATGGGAAAGACGTGGCCCTGTGGAGCATCAACCCAGCCTGGGCGTTTTAGCTGAATGGGCTTAGAAAAGCCACAATGATGAACGGCAGCTCATGCCACGTCAAATTTGAAGGCTCGTGGTCTGAGTAAGGCTGCTCTGTCGGTGGCTGCTGCAGAGTCAGAGCAAACCCCGGTCACAACAGCTGGAACCGTGAGTATCGCAGGGAGACATGCAGCAACAATTCCGCATTTGGTAAGGTGCTTCGGAGCCCAGTCCAGGATTCGTCAGATCCCCCAGCTGGATGGACGCCGGGCGGAGGTCAAGCGGACTGTCCCAGCGCTCGGATCGGACCAGCGCTCGGCTGCGTGAAGGGATGGGATGTTGAGGTTGAATTCAGGCCGGCGATGTACGGCATGCATGTGTGCAAGGCGTTCAGTGCGTCCCAGCATCCACTGTGCTCCGAATTAGCGGCTCGCTTGCTCGGCGGGAGAGGCATGGGGGCATGCATGCGGGCTGCTGAGGCTGAGACATCCATTGCCGGATCCCCTCCGGCTTTGCAGTGGGCGAGTGAGAAGATGCTCTGATTGTAGATCTGACCGGAACATCACGCATCTTGCCCTTCCCCCTGAGCTAATGCAGGTCCTCTTTCGCCTGAGCCTCCATCTCCTCGTTCCGTCTTACCCCGTCGCACATCACCACTTGCCAGGTTGCCGGTTGGGTAAGGGGTCGATGTAGATAAGCATTTGGATCTGCATCCGGCGTGGCCTCTCCCGCGCACCAGCAACGCGTCCCAAAGCCCGAAAAGGGGCGGGCCCTCTCATTTGTCGACATCATAGCAAGATGCGGAGCGGCTCTTCGGGGCAGGATTGTCGTGGGCTGAAAGCTAGCGGAGCGAACTGATTGTGATCTTCTTTGCTCCGCAACAATCTGAAAAACGCCCGTGGGATGCTGCTCGAGGGCTCCGCTCGTATATGCAGAGGAAGGCAAAGGCTGGCTGAGCCCCTGGCAGAGATAATGCATCAAGTATCGATCTGATATTGGGGCTGCGGATGCCTGACGTCTGTCCGCGTTGGGCGGAAGTGGCTTGTTGCATACGACCACTTTCAACCTCGCTTAGGTCGGATCAAGAGGTGGCAGCCGCCCGGCGGTATCATTCTTTCGTATTTACACTGCACGCGCTGTGTGGAGGCTCTGCAATAACTCCGAAGCTGAGCTGTCCATGGGCAGGCCTGGCGGCTATTGCCCACTATCAATACCACTGTGTGGCTTTTCTGGACCTTGACCGCCACCATGGCCAACACTCGCATGCATTCGTCGCGTCGTACATAAACGGCGGTACAGGCTCTTCTTACGTCCGGTGACCTAGCTAAAATCAAGCCACAAAATCACCGTATAAGGTAGAATTTCCGGACGCCTCTACAGCATCTCTTCACGTCCGGTGAACTAGGAGGTAGCGCGGAAACTGAGTCGACCCCTGTAAACCTCCTTTTCTGGACTAATAGTCAGCTGGCTTGAAGATTCATTGGCTAGGCAGCTGTTAATCCTCCCTAAGAGCGTCCGGAATTGCTACCTTATACGGTAAGTCTGTGGCTTGATTTTAGCGCTAGTTCACCGGACGTAAAGACGACCCAAGCAATCTTTCAGTGCCAAAGCACAGAATGTAGCCACCCGGAACGCCACACGAACTAGAAATCAGGACCCCTGACGGCGGCACTGGTCCATTGGTCCAGCTCAGTCTCTCGGAGGCAAGTAACTGCCACGGCAGCACTGAGCAAAAGATGTCGGCACTTACACCAGGCGGACAGCTGCATTTAGCAGCGTGCACCGTTGTGTTCTCAGCACTCCGCTTCTGGTGCTCTTTAATGGGGACAGTCACATTAACACATAACGGTCGGCACCAACTCTTGTGCATGTCAGCAGCACCGCATGGCTCGCAGACGCGCAGACCGGCTTTCTTCATGTCGGATGACCTACCGCCGAAACTGAGTTGACCCCGGTGAACCTCCTTTCTGGGCTAATATTGACCTAGCTTGAATATTGATTGGCTGCTATTCCCCCCTAGAAGCGTCCGGAATTGCTACCTTATACGGTGATTTTGTGGCTTGATTTTAGCGCTAGGTCTCCTGACGTATGCCTCGCTATGCCTTGCCTTGCCTTGCTTAGACGCCACCGGAAGCATGTTCTATTGCCTGCAGCTCGTCCGATTGCAGGCCATGAGGGGCTCCATGAGGACAAAGTTGAGAGTATGTGGACACGAAACGCTTCATCTCACACGCACTTGCTCCCAGATCTAAGACGCCATCATGGGTTAGACATGGGATCCAAAGGAGTATAACAGACAGTCAAACCCGATTGACTGGGTTATCACCGCACACAAAAAATAGCTTTCTCGTCATCCGATCCTATATTCTCCGACTCCTTATCTTATCGCCATTCAGAAGAACAGGCTCACGCTTTCCAACTCGTCGGCGTCTTGACATGCATGCCATGCCGTATCACCGCCCTTGAAACTAGGGTGACGGAGATAGGGCATTTGTCCTCCCATTCCATCTACGTCTTCCCTGTCTTTGAGAGTCGCCCTCTCATCATCTGATCTTTTTCGTCCTCGTCTTCGCCTCAATCCCAGATCCGTAACGAATGCCGTCTCGCTAAATAATTCTTCCTTGATCGATCCGCCGCCCCTGCCTCCTGCAACTTCGTCCCATCATGACTGTCAATCCTAGTTGGGAGGCCTTAGACAGCTCGGAATCCCAGTTTCACGATAACAAGCGCAAGGCAGATCCGCCGCCGCGAGCTCGGGTTCGAGAACGAGCCTCCATTGGAATCCTAGTAACGGGAAATCTGCTGACAGGCAGCTTGAGATCTCGCGGCACGGCCAAAGCTGACCATCAAACCTTGGTTCCCACCCAAGCGGCATCAAAACCCCTCCTTCGCCTGGATCTCCATCCATGACCATAGCCCTGGGTGGCGGAACACAGACTTGAACGCATCAATCCCGGTCTCGGGAGCCAGACATGGCCACTCACATACATTACTCATTTGAGATCTCGCGGCACAGCCATATCCTCGCTTCGGGTGGCCCGACCATGGACCCTTTCGCCTGTATACTACTCTTGCGTACCCTATCCCTTTGCTACTAGTACCAAGAAATCTCTTATACCTATGCGATAACATAAGAACATTAAGACCGTAGGGCTGTTCGCCTCCCCCACAGCTTCCGCGGAATACATCCGCCACGGAGGAGCAGCCTCATCACTTTGCTCAAGCCTGAAACGACGCGGATGGCGAAGTGACGCGGACGGCGAAGTGCATGCTTGACGTATGATCTCGGGATAACAAGGCTCGAGAAAGCGAAAATATCAGCTTGGCGGCGAGGCTGTGACAAAGTTTCCGAGAGGGCGTGATTGAGCTCATTCAGCTGAAGAGGGGTACGCTGCACTGCTCTAGCGTAGTACGCATCTACTTCTCCGGCTTCTTTCATCATCATGGCCTGTCCACTTTGCCACGGCTTAATTCCACTCCAATTTCGAAACAAAAAACCCGCGACTCTCCAAATCAGACCGTGGAAGTGAAGGTAACTCTGATATCGCGAGAAGTATAATCGGGAGCCAGAAGGTCTAATATGCACTCGAATTCTGGCACATTGTTGACGGACAGCCTAGATCAGATCGCTAACCATCGGCCAATCTTGATGTCGCGAAAAGTACAAACGGGAGCCAGTCCATGCGATTTAGACTTGAATTTTCACATATCATTGACTGACTCTCTAAATTGGACGTATTATAGACTGTAGTTTACTAGACCCCCGAGATTGATCCATAAAATTTAGCATATTCCTCATGTCGCGAACAGTATACAGGGGAGCCCGTCCATGCGATTTTGATTCATTTCTGGCTTATGATTGTGGCGGACCCTATTAGGCTGTAACAGAAAGGTTGATTGTAATATTGAGCGGAGGAGGAATAGGAACGAGTCCGATTTCTATCACTCGCTCGCTACTAGTGTCACCATGGCTCCGATTCACAATACTCAGGGCCACCACCATGGTCGTGAGTGTCAAATGTTTCGCAAATCAAATTCGCGAGCCTCTAACTACCTAATTTAACCTCCTTCACTATCGCCAGTCTCATCAAACCCCAATCTCACGCCCCAAATCCAGCTTCCTCAGCATCACGTGTAGCATTACTTCAAGCTACCCATCCAACCATCCACGCGGTCCGCTCGCTTTCCCACAACCATCCACCTCCAACCTGGGTGCCCCCTTTACTTCGCCTCCCCCTCCTCCGCACCCCGCTCCGCACCCCCCTCGTCCTTCTTGGCCTGATGCATCCCCAGCTTCACCATCGGACTCTGCATCAGCGTCTCCCACGAGTGGATGAACATGCTCTGCTTATACGAGATCTGCATCTCGGTCGTGCCGCGCGCGAGGACTTCCTTGTCGTAGGCGTCGACGGCGTCGGCGAGCGGCGATTTGGCGGAAGCGGCGGCGATGAGCGCGGCGACGAAGTTCGAGGCGTCTTGCAGCGCGTTGTTGAGGCCTTGGCCGCGGTCTGGGGGGGAGCCGGGGGGGTTAGTGAGGGTTCCCGCCGGGTGGGGGGAGAAGCGAGAAAGCATGGAGTGAAAGGCTTTCGTCGCGCTTCCGTCTCAAAAATTAAAAGAAAGAAAAATCGTAGACTGCCAAAGAGAAAGATGCCCGCGCGCCTTGAACCCCATCCTCCAGCACCGCAGAAATACTGCCCTCTGCTTGGGAGGATGTAGCCGCTAATTCGCGCTGCCCGAAAGTTTCTCCGAAAACAAACCAGGATTGAACCGCCGGTCACACTGCCGGTCACACTGCCTTGGCATGGTAGTGCTACATATTAGGATCCGAAGAATCCAGAGTGCTGGTGCATAATTCATGCATGGCGAATAAATGATGGAGAGAAGGAAGGGGAACTTACGTGGTGTCATCGGATGTGCGGCGTCACCACATAGTGTCAGCCTGCCGTTGCGATTGTCCCATTTGGAGGCCTTGTCCCATAAGGTGCCCGGGTCCATGGGGAGTTTGGTGTCGTCTGGGACCGCAGCGCCGAGGGAGCGCCAGGGCTCGGCGTAGGTTGCCGAGCGCTGTTTGAAGAATGCCATGCGGTCTTCGTAGCTACGTAGGTCTTTGAGGAGAGGATCGTGGGTCCAGCTTAAGAGGACTTGGAAGAGCCAGGTTGATGGATCGGAAGAGGGGACATCTTGGACTGGGGAAGTTGTCAGTGAAATCCGATATTTACACCCATTTCACATTACTCTGTCCAGCGAGCATCTCAAAGCAGCCCTCACACCTCTTCACCACCACGCAAAATCCACACGAGAAAATACACAACTCACTACTCGTCCAAAACATACTCCCATGATCCGGATGAATCGCACTCACAAACAGCGGGCTCAACCCCCTCACCTCTTCCGCTAACCCCGCTGGAAACCTCGTCGTGAAATTAAACATCGTAAGCGGCACCTCCGTCAGCGCTGCCGCCTCTTCCCCTACAATACACTCTCTCGCCGTGCTCCGCGCACCATCGCATCCAACCAGCACATCGCCCACCGCCTTGCTCCCATCCTTAAACCCAGCCACAACCTTCTCCCCTTCCTCCCCCTCAACTCTCTCAATAGACACGGAAACGAGCTCCTTCCCGTATGAAACGTCCAGCCCCTCTTTGAACAGATTGCGCAGCTTTTTCCGGGAGACGCGGCACGGGTTCGCGGCTCCCATGACCATGATCCGCTCGCCAGTTTTGCCGTTGTAAATCGGGAGGCCGGTGACTGAAGTCGGGTCGATGGAGGTGTCGGCGTAGGTTTCTGATAGTCTCGCGACGAGCTCGGGAGGTAAGCAGTTGGAGACGTGCTCGGAGCCCCAGTGTAGCGTCATGCCCCATTCCCGCGGGCGGGTTTGGTAGGAGGTGTCTGTTTCATATTCGTAGAGGGAGTAGGGGAGGTTGGCCTGGGGGGCGGGGGGGTAAGTATGGGAAGGAGGAGGGAGAGGAGATGGGAGATGGGAGGTTGAGGCTGGAGATGGAGATGCGGGAGGAAGAAAACGATGGGGGTGAAAGGGTTTGAGAGGGTTTGAGGATAGAATGGAGACGGGACATCTAACGATTGAGATATAAGAACGACGAAATCTACATTACCTTCTTCAGACCCTGTGCCACAAGCAAGCCCGTCGTCCCTATCAAACCCATCAGTCATCAGTGCTCTCTACCTCCGATTGCCTCGGGGCCAGACATACCTGCTCCAATGATAATCGTATGCAGCTTCCTCTCCGTCGCCATAATTGCCGATTAAGTTTGTAGTTTAGAGAGAGAACTCCACAAAAAACCGACAGGAAGGTAAAGCGCGGAATCTCCAACTAAAGTACCCAGGGTCCAGACAAGATGTCCGGGTGGTGTGGGTGGCTGTCAACCGGGATCAGATTTCAGCGGCACTTCCAGTCGTCGGTCGTTCTCGTGAGAGCGGGGCAAACCGCATCCAGGCATGCTTACGCCAGCTGGATGTAGCTAGGTAGACAAATAGCTCTGCGTGGGGGTCTCCGCGCTCCGAGGAGCACTAGCTTTCTAGTGTATTCAAGGGTGGAGTATTGGAGCTGCTAGGAATTGGACGGATCTTAGAGTAGCTGCATGGCCATGAAAATTTGTTGGATATCTGCGTTCTGAGGTTAATTATATCTCCATGGTTTCTACTACGAGTGGACAGGCAGGTGGTGCCATAGATAATGAAGACGCATGAAGCCAGTTTACCAAGTCCGGAGGGGTATGGCCAATTGTCGGATGGCTAGTTAGTCATTAGCTTGGCTCACATGTGGTTCTATCCGTCTTGGACGTCGAGTCTAGAGTAGAGTACCAAAGGAGCATATCATGACATTTCTGATCTCATCACCGCTCACATACTATCATAGTGTCAAGGAGATTCAATAGCCTAGCCCATCTAACTAACCCTCCTCCCCTCCGCGATAGCTCGCTCGACTCCGCTTACCCAGCTGCTTCACAGAGCTATCCCTTTTTGGTGTATACCATATTCCAATTCAATTACACAGAAGAAAATAGCCTAGAAACAAGACAATGTTCACGCCGCAAGCTCCGTGTCAATATCCTCCAGCAACACACAAGCACCATTTCCCAAAACATTTCCACGTGGTGACTGACATCATCCATCGATCAGACATAAAAGAAAAGGCATTTTCTGAGGCTGCTCAGACGCCAGAGATTTCATTTCCCTTCCTCCATGTATTTGCCCATGATTTCGTTGTTACTTGCTTGCGTGCATCCATGCTCTCGTATGCTCTCCTCTGCGACATCAACACTACGCATCTAACTCAGCCAAGCATGCGTTCACAAATCCTATCACACTTCTAGTGTCAATGAGAACGGCGAGCACCACCCAAACAAACCCCAGTACGCTATTTTGCCGGAAAAGCGGCATAGGTAAACCAATCGACGGTGAAGACACCGTAGCAACAAGGGAAAACAGAGGTATAAGCGCTCGAACGGGCCACGGTTGCCGTATATGGCGTCGAGAAAAAAGCAAAAGCCAGAATATAGCCCAAGCTTGGAACTCCTCGCCTTCCAAGAACCTCAACCCAATATAGGACTGGACGCGGGACAAAAGGGAGAAGTGACGTGAGCGAAAAATGACGAACCCGGTTGTTGAGACGAAAGCGGGATTCAAGACGCAGTTGAGAACCTTGTCGCCAGGAAAACCACATATTGCGCCGATGATGAGCCCGCATTGTACCTGCATCGTCCATGAAATTGGTGGGTGGAGGCTATGTCACCAAAGGCTCCACGAGATGAAAGTGTAATAGTTTATGATGAGTCTCGAACCCGGGTGACGAAAAATGCGAAAGGTGACGGGCATGCATACAAAAGGCCAGACAGATGATGCAGAGGCTGCTGAAAGGTAGTTGAGTTCGTATACAAGGTGTTGGGACAGATGGTAAGGGGCAGATACAGTGGTGGGCGGCGGACAGCCTCACAAGCCGCCCTTCTTTCGTCGTTCCTCGGCTCTTGCCTGTCGTGCAGATCGTACTAGCGGCGCTAGAGTATTTAGAGGCTCCGCTGTTTGGATGAACGGATGCTATCAAAGAAGTCAGTTTTGAGTGACTGAGACGATAACGAAGACTAGCTCGCGCATACCTTGAGCAAATCATGTGCACTCGCACGCTTCTCTGGGTCCACTTTTAGGGCGAAAGCAAGGAAGTCCCTGAACATGGGCGACAACGTGTGCTCATCCTTGATAGTCGGCGTTCCGTTGGTTGCAATTAACCATAGAGCTCTCAGTGGGCTCTCGTTGAGATAGGGAGGCTCGCCCTCAATCATTTCGATGGCCATAATACCCAAAGACCAGATATCGACCTTTCGGCCGTACTCCTTCCGAGTGACAACTTCGGGAGCCATCCAGTATGGCGTGCCTACCATAGTCGTGCGCTTGGTGTGGCTCTCGTTGATCTGGGCGCAGAAGCCGAAATCGGCTGTAGTGAAGAGTCTTTAGCAGTGGCTCAAAAGTTGAAGAGCGGAGTGACCTACTAAGCTTGATGTTTCCCTCTAGAGATAGCAGAATGTTGTCAGACTTGATATCTCGGTGTATGACGCCTTTTGAATGGAGATGCTGGAGTCCATGTAATGTCTGATAATGTTAGCGCGGCTTCTTCTGGTCGGGGTAGATCAGCGCTCACCTCTCTGCATACAGCAGCAATCTGGCCTTCAGACATGATGTTGAAAGTTACCACATCCGTCAAACTACCACCCTCCATGTATTCCATGACTACCCAGAGGTCTCCGGTAACCAAAAAGCTGTCCATGAAGTTTACAATGTTCTTGTGCTTGCTCTCCTTCATAACGATAATCTCGTTGATGATCAGGTCCTTCTTCGGCTGCTGCTCTAGATTCATCTGCTTGATTGCCACGCACTTATTCGTGCCAACCTCATAGGCTGTGAAAACACCTCCAGATGCACCCTGTCCAATCTTGACCAAGTTCTTGTATCGCACCCTTGGATCGGCATTCGTACATATGGCATTGAGCTTTGCAACGATGTCGGGTCCTTGACTCTGCCGTGGCCGTTGGCGAGGTCGAGGTGCAGGGCCAACCCGGGCTTGTTGCGAAGGTAGGGGAATATTTGTAGGTTCCGATTGCTGAGCAAATTGCTGTTGTGGTGATGGCTGTAGCTGGGGTGGTTGTGCAGGAGCGAGATGTGGTTGCGGCTGCCGGTGACTCTGGCTCCTGGCAAGCTGCGCCTGCTTAGTTTCAATGGACTGCTGGGCTGCAAGCATAGCCTGTGCTTGCTGCTGCTGGTACATGTGCGTTGTACCAATTGGCGGAGAATCGAACCGCGGCGGCTCCCCGGTGGTGTTTGCCCTGCTGCGGGGCGGCTGCTGCTGCTGTTGGCCATAGTAATTTTCTGTGACTGTTGGAGGAGCATATGTGACAGCTGGGAGCTCCTCTGGACGGGCCTGGCCGGGTTGCGGGCTCGGTGCAGGAGGAGCAGGTCTCGAGGGGATCATGTTCGAAGCAGGAATACTTCCTGGCGGCTTCGGAGCCGGCCTATTGGGCACCAGATTGCCATTGAGTTGTGGAGAAGCTGGGGACGTCTGACTCCGGGGAATCGGAGGTGGGGCTCGCGGATTTTCGAAGCTGTCCTGGTCATTGCGAGGAAAACGAGGGCTCACCGGAGGACTGAGCATGGGCTGCAGTGCCCCAAAGTTCGGACTCAGACTGGCCTGATAGGCATATCCCTGTGGAGGTGCGTGTCCCATCTTCTCGAAGATCGCGTCATTGTCCTTGCCCTCGGTATTCTCCTTGTAGAAGTTGACGACGTCCATAATAGCTTGGGGATTTTGCTTTTGCTCCTGCTCGGTGATGCCATTTTGCTTCAGCATCCGCTGCCATTCCATGGGGAGACCCTAAAGAGCGTTAGTCCGAGCCATTGCAGCAGAGTCGAGATGAAAAGAGGAGGGGCTAGGTAGGGGAGTCGGGTCCGCCTGCTCGAAAGCATTTGGGGGGAGCAAAGAGAGTATGGGGGTGGTGCATGCCACGACGTGTCACGTACCGTGTACTCGCCCGTCTCATTGTCGATGCTGACGTGGGTGACGTGCATGGGATTGGTCGGCGTCGATATCGTTGGTCGGCGCGGCGAGCCCAACATGCTGTTCATGAAGCTCGAGAAGCCGCCCTTCTTCTTGCCGCCGTCGGATTTGCGGTTCTTCGCCGTGTCGCCCTCGTCGGAGTAGCGCTGTCGCGGGCTCTTGGTGCCGCCATCAGAGCGGGGCGGGGTGATGGTCTCCATCACGCGGCCGAGGGCTTGGAAGCTGGCAGACTGGCGGAGCTTGGGCGAGATGAAGCGCGGGTCGGCGGTATGGGCGTGCTGGGGCGGGGGACGTGGCGGGTTGCTATTGCTCTGCTGCACCGAGTCGAAGTTGTGGTAGAGGGCGGTCGAGTCGAACGGGGCGCCAATCAGCTCGGGCGTGGGGATCTTGTCGGTCACTGAGGCTCTCTGCGAGGGGTGCTGGCCGTGGACGGGGCTGTAGGACGCAGCATGCGCCGAGGAGGAGTCGTGCAGCGAGGTGTTGGACGACGAGGCCTGCTGAGCGGACACGGGACTGCCAAGCGTCGGGCTTCGCTGGTGGCCTGCGGGCTGCGAGGTGGAGGTGAATGTAGGGTATGAGGGGGCCGAGGGGGCGCGGCGGAGCTTCTGGTTGTTGTTGTAGGCGGTGGGCGGAGGGTTCTTGCGCAGCAGACGGCGCGGCGGCTCCCTGGGGTGTTGGTGTTTTGTTGGCTCTTCCATCCCAGACGTCCTGATTGATCCCGTCGGCTGGGCTTGGGTGGGCCGCAAGTGACGAGCTGGCTGAGGGCACTAGGCGCGGGGGGCACAGGCGTCACCCAGAGCGTCTGGGGATGCAGACGGGCAGGACGGGCGCGAGAGGGAGGACAGCGAGAGGGCAGCTGGGCAGTGCAAGAGACGGATGCGCGATGTCGTCGTGCTACGCCAGAGTCGCTGCTCTCGAGCTGGAGGGATTGGCATACACTGGGCAGGGCACAGGACAGCCACCGGCCCCTCGCCAACCGCGCCCAGCAGCTGGTCTACAAGACGCTATGGATGAAGCTCGAGGGAGACCCGACGGGACCCTGGACACACGACGATAGGGGGCAGCGATGGCCAGATGTCCCGAATGGCAGCTCCCGATCCTTGGTGGCATGGCAAGCCGCCTCTCCCTAGCGCCCACCACGACCAGCGACGGGGACGCGCCGCCGAACGTGAAGCAGAGGCAAGCTGCAGAGACAAGCTGCAGAGACAAGCTGCACCGCCAGCCCTACCGCAGTCCACTCGTTGCTATGGCGCCCTTGCCTGGCCGCAGCAGTTGGCAGTCGGCAGTGGCAGCCGTTTCAGCCCGCCGCCCTTCATCTCAAACGCGCGGCGAAACGGCGAGCAGCATCTCCTCGCAGTCTGTAAACTGGCCGGTCTTGGTGCAAATGAGCAGAGTTATGCACTGGTAGCGCTGGGCATTATACGCAGCCGGAGACTTTGCGTGGGAAGATGCGATTATTTACTTGGTGACCTGGCACGTGCCTGGCAGGGCCACCCTAAACGGCGCTATCCTGCCGAAGGTGGGACAGGATTTATGCACGCTAAGAGGCGTCAGTTTACAAGCTCCCGCATCTTCCACCTCCACCACGCCCCTCATGAAGCCGCCTCTGTCCCGGCCTCTGTCCCGGCCTCTGCTGCACGCTGCATGGCTCCCACGTCCCCGTGCGTCAAACGGCCGGGTGTTGGACGGCATGCCGGCACTGGCCCGCGAGTAATGCAAGCCGCCGTTTGAGGGCGGCTCCGTCTGCTGTCCCGCAGTCGATCGCCGGCGTCTGTGGCCAAGATATCAAATCACAGCCGGAAGCGCTCGCCTCCAAAGAAACCCTAAATAATAGGGACGCAGCCGCCTGTCAAATCGCGCTGCATGGGACGCCGCCGAAAGCTGCGCCACGGCCAGCGATGCTCCCGCCCGCTGTCAAACGAATCCTGTACACCAACCATTGCTAGACAGCTTTTCTGGTCTCACGATGCCTGATAACCTCTTCCTAACCACCACTTACAGACGACTACAGCCGTTGGCTACAGTGCCGTCGCACATTTCCCCACCTGACATCCAACCCGCCGTTGTACACTCTCCGTCTTTGTCCAGCTGCCATCACCAGCGCCACAAGCCGCGTACCACCGGCGGATCTCTTTCACTTCGAGCTTTTGTTTGATAGTGACCCATTCTGGACCCCGTGACACGTCGAGGGCTTCATGGGCCCCATTTGGCACTATCACGGCTCAAAACCGGTTTCCCGTATCAAGTCTGCTGGCCCGCTCCCTTTCCAGCTGTCCTACCCCTTGATCTATGTGTTTGTCCCCATTGGCGGTCGGCACGCTGAGCACGCATGAGCTTCCGAATCGGCACGGCCATGCCAACGACCTCAATATCAGGGTTCTGGGGAACACCAACCAACGCAGCTGGATCTGCATTTGACCAGTCCTCTAACTGTCCTACCACCAAACCTCAGGGCATTCTCGAACAGTCCAGATACCGCTTGCTACCGACATGTGCTTTAAAAACAAATCCAAGATCTCTTTCTCTCCAGCTGCCTCTTCACACGCTCGAGAACAGACGAGGAAGTGAGGTTTTTCATCCAGAAAAAGGAACTCGTGTAACCCTGGCATTCGAATCGGCCTGACTCGATCCGGCATGTGCTTTATGCATGTCGACGAAGGAAAGTGGCACAGTATTGTGGTCATTCCAGACGACTATGAAATCATACACCTGCTCCATCGGGCATCAAAAGACGTGCTCTAGAGCATCACAAGACTCCCACATGTACAAACACACCTCTAAATCCATAATCCCTTACTGGCAGAGCTCGTCCATTAGACCAATCAACCAAAAACCTGACCACACTGGCGTGACTCTCTCACCAACATCTGTACACCTGCTGTCCAGCCACGCCCGTCTCATCTCCTGTCCAAATCACGCAGCAATACTTCGCTTCGCACCTCATCCCCAATTCCGCAATCATCTCCCCATTACAAACGCTGACGGTTCCACCTCAGCTCGCCCCCACATCTCCACTCTTCAGCTTCTCCACTCTCTAGCCTTACGCACGTGCGTGCACATCTCCGAAACATCCCTATCCAGCCAGGGCTCGAAATCCCCGGAAGCCATTGCCAGAGCCAAGACAGTCCTCGACTGCCCATCACCGCCATTCACTCACGAAGAGACCCAATTCCTAGCCTTCCCTCTTCTTCAGTCTATCGATGTGGATTTTCCTAGTCAGATCAGACTTCAGCCTCACAATCCCTCCCGTCCCGACCTCCCTACCCGCCGTGCCGCCGCCGTCGGCCGCACGCGCCACGCCCATGTTACATTATCCACGACAATCTCACCTCCAACACCCCAAGGCTCTTCCTTGCGCGCAAACCACGCCTCGTTCTTCTAATTCCAGCTCCAGCCCCTCCTCCCTTTCCCTCGCCGCCAGCCCACACCATGCCTACCCCCAACACGCTCTAGCCGAGGCCGAAGTAACACCTTCCTTCCTGCCTTTTCGCCGCCGAAATCGAGGCTCAAGCCGCACCCGCCACGTGCTGGTGCTGGGTTAGGTTAGGTTAGGTTCGGCTGAATGCGAGTTAGCAAAACGTTCTACAAATCCAACTCCCTGATTACGCAGTGAAAGCGTCGGGACTTCTGGAACACGTGAACGCGGCGGTCCGCGGTTATTGTAGCACGTGAACTAGCGTAGATGAGAGTTGATTGATTCAATTTTTTTTTTTTTTTTTTTTGCGGAGTCTACTTCTTCATTTTTCGGCGTTCGCGGAGCTTTTCCCGTTCTTTTCGAAGGGAGGTGCTTGAGAGCGAGCTGCACTTTGTTTATTTGAATCAGGCTTGTCAGCTTCCCTTCGACAGTCTGGGAAAATCGGAAAAAAGTAAGTTGGGGGGGGGGGGGGGCGGTTATGTAGCACTCGTTGGATCGAGGCATAATCGTCAGGCCAAGATCAACGACTTGTCCGCCCTTAACTCGATCAAGATTGGAAAATTCAGAGGCAAAAAAAGAGTCATGGTTATACAGAAGTAGGTTTTTCCTGCTCTCTTATTGGTCTCTTATGGAGGATTTCCCGCTCCGTCTCGTCTCTTCTTATCTCGTTTTCTCGCGCCGTCTTTCCTCTATGCTTCTTCCATCCCCGTCATACCAAAACCTCAGCAGCACCATCATAAACCAAAAAAACAACCCCACAAACCAAAGGTGCTATCCTATTCCGCACCCACCAAGCCAGCATGAATCGTACATGGACATTAGCGCAAACGCCACGCCGCAACAACAACAAAACGTACTGCCCTTCCTACTCCGCCGCCGGCAGCCACACTGCGACCGGATTAGTTTGCGCGCCCAAGGCAACGGGGAACCTCGAGAATACTGCTCAAGTCACAGATCTATAATCTAAGCGTATCATGATCGCTCTTGTGAAGGGAAGTGGAGAGCAAGAGCGAAGAGAACTACTGTGTCTAGAAAACATAGTGCTCAAGCCAATAGGCTGCCTTCGCGAAGAAAATAAACGCATGCATCGGGATGGCTGAAGGTAGGGAAACACATGCACGCTAAGGAAACGCCACGTACGCCGCGCTTTGTACCACTGACGGTGCTGGGGGGAGTGAGAGACGGGGTCAGCGGAGGTAAAGGAAAAGACAATCATCTCAATGCGTCATTCGCAGAGAATCCTTAGGCGAACTAGGTAGGTGGACGAACAAGAGTCTGACAGCAACGTAAAGACGGCGGCCCTGTCAGGAGTGGACCACGGAACCAAGAATCTTCTGGTGGAGATACACAAGTCTAGAGCGGATCGGGAGAGGCAACAGCTTCTTGCGTCAGCACCCGCTGTTCCTCTTCATAATCGCCATTCTCTTCTGTGTAGTGGACGCGTTTACCAGAGCTCGGTTCGGGGGCAGACTGGCTCTTGCCCCGCTTGGCTGCTGCAATTTCCTGCTCATCGAGGAGACGTTTCTGCTCCTTGGACTGCACTCCACCGACATCACCGGCCATGGGATCGTCTGCAGCTGCTGCGATCTTAACAGGCTCAGAAGGCTTGCTCGGCGGTATGTGCCCGGAGGGTTCAGTGCGTGCGGCATAGACATCTGGCTGCGCTTCTTGAAACCAGCCTCCCTTCTCCCATTCGCCGGGTCGGTACACCGACGCTGCTCGAGCTTCTTTGTTCACAATACCCTCCATGAGCTCGCTGAGCCGTGCAAAAGATATGGGCTTTAAGATCCAGCCGTCAAATCCAGCGTCGATGTATATCTGGCGGTCTTTCTCGATGAGCGAAGCCGAGACTGCGATGATTGGTATGCGACCATTTAGTGAAGCCCGCCTGGACAGTATATCGGTAGCATGCGTTTTCTCGAAAGAACGTATCATCTTGGTGGAGGTCAGGCCGTCGACAATGGGCATCTGCAAAACTCAACGTTAGTCACGGTGGTTTTCCTTGGTCCTCAATTTTCTTACCTGCATATCCATCAAAATGCCATCATAGTCGCTCGGTCTGTCGCCGAAGGCACTTGCACATTCTTCTCCATTGATGGTAAGATACGTCACGTGTCCGAGCTTCTCAAGCCTCTTCTTCACGATCTTGCTATTCACAGGATCGTCCTCAGCCACAAGGACGTGCATGTTAGCGGATGTATGCTGAGTACTTTGACCACCTTCAATCTCTCCGAGAATCGAGCCCGATCTTCTCTCCTGTATTAGGGAGCCAGCCTCGTCCGGTATTTTAATTGCCTTGACCAAAGATACGGAGTCCGGAAGCAGCGCTTCCCCCGGCTTGCTTGTAATTATCTCTCTTTGATGTGGCGGAACAATGTCTTTAGTAGAAAATTCGAGGCTGCGAGAACGAGATAGTGTTGGTGAAGACCATTGGCTCATGTCATAGCTGTTCCGTTTCTGAAGCTTTGGCCGTTGGGGAGAACGTGTGTTGAAACTCCGCTCCCCGGTCTTGGGCCGTTTTTCTACAAAGTGTGGCTCCTGGATAGCCTCGATTAATCTATCGACATCGCTCATGTTGCTCTTGCCGCTCTTGCCGCTCTTGCCGCTCGACCCACTCTTGAAACTACGCAAGCTGTTCTTGCTATTCAAACTTTCAGCGCTTGCTGGTCTCACCATTCTTCCACTCGCTGAATCCCTTCTTGCCATGTCTGGCGCCACAAGTGTGACTTCAGGGGCGTCTGACTTCTCAGGTTGCGGCGTAATTGAGCCTTCTGGCGTGATCTGCGAGCCCCGTGAATTCTGCGAGTTCTGCGAATTCCCGTCTGAAACCTCACTGTCCGGCAGGTCAAAGGGAAATTGAATGATGAATCGAGATCCTTTGCCTTCCTCAGATTTGAGGCGCAGTTGACCATTCATGTTCCGCACAGTACGAGCGACGACTGCCAGTCCGAGCCCGAGAGTTCTTTTCGAGTTCTTGCCATCTTCTGGCGTTTTTGCGGATGGGGCTAAAGTCTCTTCCAACATGGCGGTACTCTCGGATTGAACTTGCTCCAAGTCACGGAAAATTGAATCGACCTGATTAGGACTCATTCCCGCTCCAGTGTCCTCACAAATTATTTCGATATCAACATGATCGCTTTGCCACGCTGTGGCGTACATTTCGACCTTGATTCCTCCTTTGTTTGTATGCTGGATAGCGTTCGCTGTGATGTTCGAGATTGCTTGGCGGACTTTTCGTTGGTCGCCGATTACTTTTTTCGGGACACCAGGATGCTCCACGACGTCATATGCGATGTGCTTGCGACGAGCATCGCCAACAAACATATCGGTCGCTTCTCGTAGCGTAGCCCTAAGATCAAACACTTCGCCTTTGATGAGTTCGGCTCCCTCTTCCGTCTTGGTTAAGTCTAGTAAGTCGTTGATAACATAGATTAACGATTTCGACGCAGAATGAGACTTTGCCAAGTTGTCGCGAGTCTCCTGGTCGATCGCGCCTTCGAGAGCAATTTCGAGATAATTGATGATGGCATTCAACGGGGTCCGGACTTCGTGTGCGGAATTCGCCAGTAATAGGCGTGTAAGTTGGCTGCTTTGCAATGCTGCTTCTTTCTGTCGCCAGACCTCAATGAACTTGCCATACACCAGGCACAGTACAGCAGCCGTCTCGATTTCCTCTTCGGTCCACTCTCGGCATTTGCCCACCACAGTCTCACTCCAAGTTTTGAAACTCTTTCTAGGCTCGAGATATCCTTCAGTGCCTTCTTTGATGTACTTTTCGTAAGGGTTGCCTGCCCACTTGACTTCTCTGAGTTGACCTTTTCGGAAAAAGACGATGAAGTCTTGCCCACCAACCGATAGGGGTACTATCAGCATGCCTGCAATGACTAAGAATCCTGGAGCGTATCTCAAGTCGGGAAAGTCCTGTGTGATATCCTGTGAAGTCATGACTGATGTGATCCTTCGCATACGTAAGTATTCCAGCATAGCCAGAGCCTCCTGTGACTGCTCTAGATCTCCTAGGATCTTTGTCTCGTCTCGAATTGATAGCAGACCAAAATCAGCGTCGAATAGCTTTAGAAGGTCATCAGACGACGCAATAATATAGCCAGAAGGGTTGTGTTGCGTGGGCACCGTGTTGATGAGTTTTCGAGCTTGTAATCGGGAAGCATACGAAAGTCGCTCAATATTCCGAGAAGCTGAGTCTCCCACAAGGCGACACATTTTGCGGATAGGGAATGAGACTCGCATACCATTTGCGCCGTAGGAATGGCATGCAATGAGACCCCATAATTCATTGAAAGCATTGATCGATATGGACATAGACGACCGCACGGCCATGTTGCCTAAGTATTTCAGATGGATCGGCGACATGGCACGAAGATAGGAATAAGTCAAATCTCCAAAACGGTTAGCTCTTTTACGAGAAATTTGACCCATGCAAGTCGCTTACCTAGGGGAGTTTCAAGGTCTTCTACCGTTCGGCATACGAGACGCGCTGTCTCTTGATCTCGGTCATATAGCATTCGAACACGATTGATTTTGTACAATTCTCGTGCTTGCTTTGGTATGTCGGTTGCAGGAAAATGGAGACCTTTGTACAGATCCTTCGTTGCACGGGGGTCCACCAACTCGGTTACAACGCGCCCATTGAATGCCGCATCGAATTGATAAATCATTACCCGATGAAACCCTGTTAGCTCCTTCACTACTCCCACAAGAACTTTGAGGAACTTTTCTAGATTCGGAGCATTGGCAAGCTGTTCCTGAACCTGAGACATTATATTGAACACTTCCATGGCTGCTGCCTCTCCCTTTCGCTTTCTGGCGCTCCGTAGAACTCGCAGCGGCCGATTTTTGGCCTCTGTGCTCTCGGCATATTCTTCTGGAGTCGGTTCGCTATTCAAAGTGTCCTCCGGTAGTTCGGGTGTCGTATCGTTCAGTGGCACTAATGGATTTATTGCATCATCCTCGAGTTCAAATTCGCAAATGATGAGCCCAGGATTCGAGGTATTTACGTGTATAGCGCACCATAATTTGCGAGACCGCCCGCTGACAGACCTGATAGAGATGGTGAAGACTTCAGGCCCGTTTGTTGCCACATCAGCGTCTTCGTCTTTGATGAAATCGATGTGGTCTAGTAGATTGTCGGCTTGCTCTTCTGAAAGTATATCGGTGAAGCTCTCGAGCGCAAAAAGCTCCTTGGGCGACCGTCCGATTATCCGCTTTGAGTTTTCGCTCACAATCCTGACCGGGAGACAACCGGAGTTGTTGGTGTCTTCCTGGAGTGCGACCAGGAGGCCGAAGCCTTGCACAGCACCTGGAATGTGTATGGGTTCGTCCTCGCAGCGCTGCAAAGTATCGCCATCTCTCCCAGTAATAACCGCGTGGCCTCCCTCGGTAATTATGTGCTTGAATCGGGCTGTCATCAACCCTTCTTCGACTCCCCCGCTATGGCCACTCGTGCCACTCATGATCGAAGCGCTCCGACTGGCAGTAGACTGCTTGTCTTTATCCGTTAATAAAGACCCTGTCCGGCTTGTACCATCGCTCTCGCCAGATTTGTTCGATTGGATGTCACTGAAGAGCTGAGCAGGGAGTCGAGGCGGTGCCATTCTCGCCGGCTCTCTTGCGGGTTTCATCGATGACTTCAAGGGAGGTTGCGGAGGCTGTTCCGGAGGCGCCTGTTCTGCTTTGGGTGTCGCATCTGGATCGCTCGGCTTCGGTTTGTTGGTGATACCCCTCTGTGAGGCAGTCGACGAATGAGAGGTATCTGAGCCCGCCGACTGTCGACGGCGAGCAGCATCGATAGAGCTCCTCGAGAACTGTTGGAAGTAGTCGCTCTGAGCAGTCGGAGCACGGCCGGGAGGTGGTGTTGGGTCGACGGATACGATGCTTCGGATAGGAAACACACGATCTGTAGCCCCGGGACTAAGCTGTGACATGTGATCGGTGGACGGCGAGGCGACAGAAGAGGCTGCTTGAGGGGGCTGTCGTCGAGCTATGGAGGCTTCGGAGGGATTGTCATTCCACATCCAAAGGTTGCTGGCTCGTCGTTCAGGTCGTGCGGTCGAGTATCCTACCTCAGCAGGGAGCGGGGCATGCGAATCCGTCGGTGATTTGGCGGATGGTTCAGACATTGTCTCAAATGCCCGTTCCAGCAACCCGTATGGTGATGGTGGAGGATCAGATGGCGAGCGCGGAGCCTCTCGTCCGGAGGGCAGGGAAAGTCTGGGGATTCGAAGGAGCAGTGCCGCAAAAATCGATCGACAGAAGCGCTCGTCCACTAGAGGGACGGTCCTCAGACCTCAGCTCATGGGCTCCGGCGAGCACTAGGTCTGGAGTGCCGTCGCGAGGTGGCAGATATGTCTTGAGGCGGCGCACGAAGACGTGTAGACAAGGCGCTTGCCACTGTGGCTCGGGTGGATCTCCCGTCCTAGATCCGGAGCACTGACACTTGTCGACAACGCAGACGGCCGAGAGGGTTTCAGAAGCGAAATGTCCGTGTCAGCAGATGGAGGCGGTGAGGCTGCGACTCGCACTTGCTCGGCGTTGGCAAAAAGCGATATATGGATGAAGGTAGGTACCGTCGATGTGGCGAAGTCAGTGGGACCCTGAATCTGCAAGCTGGTTCGAAGCAGCCAAGATCTGCGGCCCGATCTCGTCGACGGGGTGAGGCTGGTCTCGCACGGGGGACGACGGCCGCGCGGTGCTGGAGTGCGTCAATTGGGCTGCTTGCGTGGTGTTTGCGGTTTGGGATGGTAGAGGGCTCGGGCTCGAGATGGGCCGCTAGGCAGTGTTGGCCGGGGAGGCTACGGGGAGTCGGCAGAGTTAGGGTGAATAGACCACTGTAACTCCATGATCACGATTCACGAGCGCTGGGGGAGGAGATGCAGTCAGCGCGCTGTGAAGCCACACCTCTCTAACTGCGACGAGTTTGGCACGCGATGTGGCTCCTGAGGGCTGACGCTGAGGACGCCATAGGCGCAACTGATCTACGGCGATCTTCCCCAGGAGCGGCGGCTGGCCTGTTGCAGCGAGGACCCTTTCGCGCTGCCCGAGGCTGTGTGGCCGTGTTTACCGTAGCAAACGGCTGTGGTGGGCAAGGCGAGCATGCAGGGCGGATGCATGTTCCCTGGCGCCGCTGACTTCAACGGCAACAATGGCGCCCAGGCGTCTGTCAGGGAGACGGACTGGGAGGAATGTGGTGATAACAACGACGTCATCCAACATGGACAGAGTCAGCGGCGCAGGGACGGCATGGGATTTGAGAAGTCCATCTAGCGTCGAGGGCATTCGTAAACCTGGGTGCGAGAACTTCTTCACCCAACCTTGCAGTTTAGCCAGGGAGGGCCTCCGATGATGCATTCCGCGACGTCATTGCAATTCCAAGATGTGAATCCACGCGTACGACCACCAAGACGCAATCGCAGCCCGGGGGATTGCAACGGCTCCAAACAAGTCTAGTCCGCATAGCTACACCACGAGAGAAACTACGATTGTACAAAGGTACGTTCCAAACACGGTTCACGGCGGGTGGCGTGGCTATACTGCCCTGCGCTAACGCAGCCCTGTGCTTGCCGAAGTCTCGTCAATTTAGACTCTCCCCTTCGGCTCAACCTGCCCATCTGTCTTAGAGTCATGTGACCCCTCACCACCAGACGCTATCTTACAAAGGTACCTCTGTAGCCTATTATTCATGTGCTCTCACGCTTCCATGTATCTACTGCAGCACTTCAATGCACCTCAAGCCGTGATTCATGTCTGCACCAAGGTAACGAGCATACATATAAGCGATTGTGAACTGTGTATGAAGCAACGTATGCTATGACCCTGTTGGCAACCTTTGCCACGGTGAAGAGTGCTCCAACGCGCTCAAGAATCACTTACCTACTACATTCGCTAGGGTACCTCGCGTTACGTATGGAAGTTAATGGGCTCGAATAGAGCTTCCGAGACATATGCACCTAGTGGAGACACTCCGCAGCTCACACCGCCGGACTGGCAGTTACATCTCCAACATCCTATATTTGTATTCCTAACATTTCCACCACGTCGCCATTTACCTCGTTCCTCATACACGCGGCTGCCGAGTCAGTGGCGCCAAGACCGACGCCACCCGCTATCCTCAAACCACATCGCGGTGTACGATAATAATAGTTTTCTCTAACTCTGAGCATACCACCTTCACCAACATCCGGGAATGCCGTCCCTCGAATATCCACGCTTCCTCAACGTCCTCGTCGCCGCCACCTCGCCCTCCGCCCACCACTTTGCCCAGGATGTCTTCAAGCGCATTTCCTGCTTCGACAACGTCCGGTCCCGCACCATCGTCTGTCTCGACCAGAAGTCCTACCCTACGAATCCCTTCCTGGTCGCCGACTACTACCACGATGGCCTTACCCTGGCCTCCGAAGATATTTCGCGAGGACACCAGAAGGCCGCCGAGCTGTGTGCATGGGCTGATCTGCTCATTTTGGCCCCGATGACGGCCGACGATCTCGCACGAATGCTCCACGGCATGACCAACAACCTGCACTTGGGCATCTTAAGGAGTTGGGATGTGTCAAAGAAGATACTGCTCATTCCGGCCATGTCCACCCTCATGTGGGAGAATCCCATGACCAAGAAGCAACTTAGCAAAATCCGGAGAAAGTGGAACTGGATACGCGTATTGCAGCCACTACTGTGGACTTTTGAGTCGAAAGTCCGCAAGGACCTTCCTTGGGATGGCGTCGATGGTCTGATTGAGTCAGTTCAGACTCAGGTCGACTTGATGACAGTGGGCAGAGACGTCGAACATGTGGCAATGCCGCTTATGCAGGCCTTTGAACCAAACGCAAAGCCCGGGCCAATCCTCCCGCCGGAGCTATGGTCTATCATTATGGACTACACTGGTGACTGGGAGTTGGCGACTGCACTAAACGTCCACACAAAAGTATCAACGCCGCCGGAGTGGAGACAAGCCAGCAGCGAAGCCGGACCGCAGACCGCTATGGAGAAACTTGAATGGATCCTCCTCATTGGCACTCTTAGTGAAGTTAAGGCTCTGCTTGCAACAGACAAGCCTCGACGTCTCTCTCGTTTGTGCATCAAGATCATCATGCGTTTTGCCAAAGTCAACCTCCTCACCCACCTGGAGACTGCACACCAGGAACTCTTCTGGTCCACCTTTGGGCACTCCTTCCTTCCAGTAAAATCATCCTCTGTTTTTGGCAGAGTTGAGATACTAGAGTATTGGCGCACATCTCCCTCCTTCCTCACAAAAGAATATTCGAACGAGGCCATGGACAACGCCAGTCGCGCCGGCTTTGTACACGTGCTCGAGTGGTGGTACAATTCCGGTCTGTCGCTCAAATACACTGAGGCTGCCCTAGAGCAAGCCAGCAGCCAAGGCCACATCGCCGTGCTTGAATGGTGGAAGCAGCACGGCCTCCACGAACGTGATTCCAGGTCCTCGTCCACCCCATCTAGCTCCACCGCCAGTGCCGATGCTGATGAAAGCGATCGGTCGACTCGCGCCCCCATCCGCCTCAAGGTTGGGAAATCCATTTCCTACGCCACACAGTCCGGACATCTTCCAACCGTCCGCTGGTGGAGTGAGTCTGGTATCGCTTTCCCACATGAAGACACCGTCGCCAAGCTAGCGTCAACCCACGGCCATGTCCATATCTTGGCCTTTTGGCGTAAGCTCCGTGGTGAGAAGATGCTATTTGATAACCAGGTTCTTGTTGGCGCAACCAAAATGGGCCACGCCGATGTGCTTGAGTGGTGGAAGCGGAGTGGGCTGCGTGTCGAATATAAGACATGTGACATCGAGGAGGCACTCGAAGACGGAGTCGAAGGCGACAAAGGGGAGAGGGTCAAACGGTGGTGGGCACAGAATGGGTTGAATTTGGGCGTTGCCACGAGCGAGTGGATGCGCACCAAAGCTCTGGGAACGTGAAGTTCAACTCGTCCTTGGGGTCATGGGAATAGAATACATACCAACGGCTCTGAGAGTCAGCTTGTGATAGTAATAACAAACACAGCCCTATAAAGTAAATCACGACTCCCGAGGCATCATTCTTGATACATCTTAACTCCGCAATGTCTCACAGCTTCTCCTAGTCGACTAGCAGACCTATGAAGCGGCACACTCGTGATCAGCAATAGAGATCCCTTGCTTCAATTTCTGGAGTGGGGTCAGCACATGTGATTCGTGGCGGCTTTACGTGAACCTCTTTCCAGACGCCCCTCCCGCCCCTCCCGCCCCTCCATCACATCTTTTTCGAGTTTCTAAGGCCACTTCTGGCAACGGAGCGTATCGCATCCCTGCAGACATTGCCGTCTTCACATCAGCCCCTCGTTCAAGGCCTTGCTCTCATCCGTGCCGCGCGTTCGAGCCTCAGGCCTCCGGCATCGGGCGGAACAAAAGAGACGGTAACGCTAGGCGCCCGCGGAGCCTCCCGGGCGTTCCACAACACCAACTTGCGGACTTTGTACGATCTGAATAACCCCTGCTGCAACTCTTCGCTTTCTCGACCATGGCCGATGACTCAGTACCTGCAGGTGCGCTGCAGCAGGAACAGGAACAGGAGCAGGGGGGTGATTTGCTCGAGGCGGTAGGTCCAAGGCCCAGAGTAGATACATTATTGGAACTGACTCCGCGGCGATATAAGTATACTTCACAGTCGGAGTCTGATGTCGATTCGGCGTATAATGACATGTATGTCCGTTCATAGTCTTCTAGGTTCCTAGGTAGAATACTAGGATTTGGAACTAAACTGGGTGCACCCAGCGTCTCCGAAACGGCGTCTGTGACGTCTTCCATCCTCGCTGGGAAATTCGAGAATGGACGGAGGTATCATGCTGTATGTGATTTCATAAGGTCATATTGAATGGATCGAAGAGGAGTTTTTGCTGACTGTGTACGCCCGTGAAGTATGGACAACAGGGCAAGTAAAATCCAGCTTTCTCGATCGCCCGTGTCTGGCTAACGCTAGCCATTTAGAATATATGTTCCCAGATGACGAGGTCAGTTGAGATGTTTTGCCCTTAGGAAACTCCCTCTGCTAAAGATATCGATTATAGCAAGAACAAGATCGGTAAGTAAGACTCTGACTAAGTGCACTTGGAGCTTTGGCTTATCATCGGAACGAGATTGGATATCAAATACGCATCTATAAATTTAGTTTTTGGTCAAGGGACAGACGGGACACTCTTTGCTCCAGTCAAGGATCCGCAGACTATTCTAGATATTGGGACGGGGACAGGTATGCTCTTTTCGATGTAGAACCGCTATCCTCAATCCTGACGCGGAACAGGTATCTGGGCAATTGACTGCGGTGAGTGACCCTCGAGTCTACTGTCTATTGTTGTAGTATCTGACAGCCGAAGCCGAGGAGTACCCAGGAGCTACTGGTAAGCACGTTCTGAGGTGACCATCCCATCATTTAGTATTGGTATACTGAAATATGCTAGTATATGCCACGGACCTAAGTCCTATCCAACCCGCATGGTCTGTACCTATCTTATTGTAGTCTCCTTCATTCGTCTATAACTAACTCCAGAATAGGGTGCCGCCAAACGTCAAGGTATAGTCGTACTACTCTGCTCAGCAGGTGGAGCCATGCTGACCCCAACAACCCGAAAGTTCGAAATCGACGACGCCGAAAAGCCATGGACCTTTGATCCCAACTTCTTCGACGTCATCCATACGCGGACCATGACAGGATGCATCCGCGACTGGCAAAGGCTTGCCCAACAAGCCTTCACGTACGCACTCTTTCCTTTCAGATATCCAATTTGTCTCATCCCCTCCAAAAAAAGCTTGCTCACCAAAAAAAACCCACCAGCCATATCAAACCCGGCGGCTACTTCGAATGCCAAGAAATGGACTACATGACCGTCGTGCAATCCGACTCCCAGAACCCCGGCGAAGCCATGCTCCTCTGGTGCAAGCAGCAAGGCGAAGCCGCCGCCAAAGCCGGCATCTCGCTGCGCACGTCCACCAGCTATCTCAAAAGCCTCATGGAGAGCGTCGGCTTCGTCGACGTCGTGACCCGCGAGTTCAAGCTACCGATTGGCCCTTGGGCGTCCGACAAGACGCTGCGCAATGCCGGGCTGCTGCAGATGAGCGCCATGCTGGAGGGCATCGAGGGCATTAGCCTGAGACTCTTCACCCATTATACGAACTGGACGCTGGACGAGTTGCACGTGCTGCTGGCGAAGTGTAGGTCGGAGATCAAGGATAAGCGGCTGCATGCTTATTGGGCTTTGTGAGTTTTACGCATCCCTAATCTTCCGCTGTCGTAGGATAGTAAGTGAGGTACTGATGATGCTCGCAGACCGGTTGTCTATGGCCGTAAACCAGAGTAGCGCACCGCACCTTCAGACCGTTGAGTAGAAAGGATTTGGGAGCAGTCGCGGTTGACCATCTATGTTTCAATGTGGTTCAGATACTGAGTGTGTGAAAAACCCAAATAAATGTATAAGGTCTGTGTTTCTTCTGTAACTTTAAATTCAGTCTTATCCATCTAGTTTCGTGTTTTAGTGGCTTGTCTTGGGGCGTGAAGCTGTTTTTACTACCGAAAGCGTGTCTGTCACTTCTCCCGACTTTGTTTAGTGCACTACGGATAGCACAATTCGAAGCGGTTGGAGCATGGTGGTGGTAAATAGCCGTTTATCATGTTACGATTGACATATCTTAGGAGAGGCACAGCGAGAGAACATATCCCATGTTTTGTCAAGCCCCCTTTCCTAGCCCCTCTCCCATTATCTCCCGTCTTCCATTTTTCTTCACCAAGAAGATATTCCCCGGTTACTCGATGTCTTCTACGCCGAAAGATTCGCCATCCCCAGGTCTCTCGCACACGCCGCCGCCGCTTTCCCTTTCTTGTGCGGGAACCGTGCTTTCAATCGTCGAATGCAGGCAGCGGCAGTCGTGTTTGAAGCGACGGCTTGTTGTGCGGCAGCTTTGCCTCCGTTCCCAGCGTTCCCAGCATTGGCAGCGTTGCCCTTACCAGCGCTGGCGGCGTTGCCTCCAACAGCATTGCCCCCGGCTTTGCCTCCAGCGTTTCCACCAACATTACTTCCAGCGGTATTGCCAGCTCCTCCAGTACCACCAGCTCCTCCGGCTCGTCCACCCCCTCCCCCTCCTCCGCGTCGAGGACGTCTAGCCTTGAGCGGCTGCCTCGCAATTATTTCATTGATCTCTCTTGCCTCAACCTCGTCTCTCCGGCGATCTTGGTAATCGCGGATCTGGGCGATGTAATGGGTGGCTGCGTTGGCCGGGCCACGCTGTAGGCTAAATCAGCATCCGACGATACGGCAGAAGGACAGTACGGGGCAAAGAGGCATACGATGAAGCGCTTCGCCAAGCTAGGGCCATAGTCGCTGTGGCCAGAAATGAGTGGAGCGTAGGCTAGGGCGGCGAGCGTGAGGGCCTGGGCGAGGGCGGAGAAGTGCATATTGTTAAAACTACTGGCCAGCAGTAGGAAAGGGTGTTCTGCGTGGAGTAAGAAAAGAAGAAAGGGAAAAACAAGATGCGAGACTGGTCAACCTTACAACACCTTGCAAAGGCAACTGGGGAAGGTGTGGATGGCTGAGGCATTCGTGCCTGGGTTTATACTGCTCGCTGGACGCCGCCAATTGAATGCGTCGGCTCGCCATCACCTCATCTGCTACGATCTCGAAGCGCTGTGTGTTCATGTTCTCTTCCATTCCGCGTCTCATGATCTTTCTCTTTTGCTCAAGGCTCCACAGCCTCGTCGATCACACGCTTGTCGGATGGCGTTGCGGAGTTGACGTACGTGTTGCCATAAGCGCACATTAGGCCTCGAGTGGCCTTGCCTGGCCGCCTTAAGGCCCAAATGGTGTGAAGGTCGGAGAAAAGCCTGCAGCCTGTAACCAAGATGAGTCTTAAAACGTTGGTGGTGACTGAGTCCAACACTGTTTGGGCTAACAAGACTTGTCAAGCAAAACCAAAAGCGGCAAGCGATTCATTTCGAGAAGTAGAGGCGGTGGGTCTGGGGATGTAGGCTGTATGAATGATGTGTGGGAGTCCGGTTATCGGCGGGAAAGAGTCTTAGAGATGCAAGAAGCAGGGATTGTCACGAAGGGTGTTTCGCATTGCTGGAATTGTGGGTTTCGTGACCTACGGGGTTTCATGCAAGTGTAGCTATAGTGGGAACGAGATACGCTTCTAGAAAGTAGTAGCCAGTCGTATATTTGAACAAGCTATAAAGCGTTGTGTGGTGTCATAGTTTGGAAAGCACTTGATTCATCTGTTGAAAAGTATATCGTAATATGAGGTGTATTTGATGCTCGCTTTTATAAGACGAGCTACCCCACGAGAGTCCTAAGTAGTTCGGCTCGTTCGTGGTTGGTCTGCTCGATAGTGTACCTCGTAGGCAAGCTGTGAAGGTGACAGCCTATCCAAGCGGAATGTGACGTGGAGCCACAACGCTCAAGGCTCCACGACAGAGTTCTCGAAACGTCCTGAGGACCGTTCGAGTCGTGCGGCCCTAAGTATCCAAGTTCATGCTATACATAATGACGTGGCCCTTTCGATAGATTGATCGCATATCCCAGCAAGGGAGTAGGGAATCAACCGTCGATCCACTCTTCGTCATTTAGTGTGTTCCAAATCAGCCTTTGCTCTTCCTTTCTCTTCTCTTCGGGTGATGGTGGCGGCAAGTTCTCGCCTTCGAGAGGGATTCCGTCTGTAGATTCCAGCGTTGCCTTGCCCAGTCCACCCAAAACGTCATTGATTTTCTGCTTCATTCCCTTTATGCCCTCTACTTCAGCTCGTGCCTTCTCCAACTGATCCTCCATCATCAGGATAAGGGTCTCGCGAGCTTGGTGGGGCCGGTACTCGTTAATCAGATGGTGCGCGTTTGCGTATAGTGTTCGGAGGTCCGCTACCTTTTCATCATACTGCATAGGATTTACAGAGAGCACGCCTACGAGCTCCAGGAAGTTGAGAAGTATGGATCTTGCAATCTTCTTGAGGTAAACGGCGCGGTCGAGGGTCCAGTCGGATTGAACGCCTTCGGTAGCAGAGGGCGAGGTCGGGGATGAGGGGTACAATTGCTCTATGTCGAATTCTTTGAGCGACGAGAGAGGCGCTTGGATCTTGAAAAATTGTTAGCCGGAGCATAGATCGTCGAGCAGGTTCGAGGTACATGTTTGGTCTCTCCGAAGGACTTGTATATGCCATCTGCGGGTGGCTCAGGTGGAATGAGGTATCGTAGTTCCGGTGGTAGATCCAGCAATTTCGGAGTTGAAGCTTCACCATTGTCCTTGCTCTCCGAGGCTGCAGCTTCCTGTATCTCCTTCAGCCGGTCGAGGTTCTGCGTGGTGAAGTGCTTGTAGAAAGGCGGTGGTTGGGGAGGCCCGTAGCTCGCGGGCTCTTCGTCGTCCTCCATAGTGATTGTCGCGTGTTTGTGGAGTAGATATTAAGGCAAGATCTTGTAGTGTCTATGCGAGTCTGGAAGTGTTGAAGAGCTGTGAGCTGTTGAATATGGAATGCGGGAGGCTTTGTTGTTTGGTGAAGGTGATCGGGCGGCGGAAGATCGACAAATAGCGTGCCAAGAATGTAGACGTCGCGGAGTGAACGACCTCTCCCCCGAGCCTCAACACCTTGTCCTGTCATGACCTGATGCACTTCCAGCGCGATTGAAGCGACTATGCCTGGCCAGGGGCCTCAATCCAACCACCGCCGTGGCAACAGCCTAGCACAGTCGCCCGGCTTTGTTGGTTCTTTTACTCGTTTCTGGCAGGTGAGCGCACGCATGGATATCAATTCAAAGGGTCCAACTGACAGATGGCAGCGTTCTTATGCTTCAGACTACATTGGTCTTGTTATTCTCCTTATTGCATACATTCTGGTAAGTCTTCTTGCACTCTCCGAAACTCATATGAACCTCCTCCATGCCCCTTGTCCTGTTGATTCACAAACAACCTCGACAATTGCTGCTATTGTCCTCTCTACGAAACCCTTCTCCGCTATATTTACCATTGCATTCACACCTAATCTTCTTGAACCAATGTCTATCTGGAATACATTGCTAACATATCCCAGCTTCAATTCTTTGCCGAACCATTCCATCGCATGTTCTCCCTCGATAACCTCGCCATACAATACCCGCACGCTGAGAAGGAGAGAGTGCCAGTCAGTACGTGACACAATGAAGGGCTATATATCAAAGTGGATGCTGACGTATGCGTAGCTTGGCTATTTATCTACGCTGGTGGTGTTCCTCTAGGGGTGTTGATATTTTGGGCCATAGCTTTCAGGCCGAAGGGACACAAGGCACATGTCACCATTCTCGGTTGGTTCATAAGGTAATATTCGCATTGCCTGCAAATAAATAATACCATCGGCTAATTGTTGACAGCTTGATTCTGACATTGTTTATCACGGATGTAAGATCTTGGTGCCTTCAGACATGCCACTACAGCTTGCTTACACAATCAATAGGTGATCAAGAATGCAGTTGGCCGACCACGGCCTGATCTGATTGCTCGATGCAAGCCAGTACGTGTATATTATCCTGCTCTAACTGTAGCTTTGAAATGTACTGATCACCATTTAGGAGAAAGGCACCTCGGACCATCAACTCGTGACCTGGGAAGTCTGCACAGAGACGAACCACCACGTGCTCCACGACGGATGGCGTAGCTTCCCCAGCGGCCACAGTAGCTTTTCCTTCAGTGGCCTAGGATACCTTGCTCTCTTCATAGCAGGTCAATGCCACGTCTTTCGACCTCGAACGGATCTCGGGCGGGTTCTTTTGGCACTGGCTCCACTGCTCGGAGCTGCACTGATTGCTATTTCACGATGCGAGGATTACAGACACGACGTTTGGGACGTGACTACTGGATCGATAATAGGTCTATTGGTAGCCTTCTACACATACAGAAGATACTACCCCTCGCTCAAATCTAGGGGGTGCGATACTCCGTATCCCAATCCAGCAGATTCGGCGGATGGCAGGGGTTTTGGGAAGTTGAAAGATGAGGAGGAGAGAATACAGAGCGCTCGCGATTTCGAGGTGGATGACCTAGACGATGATGCAGAGAGCTATCCTTTAAACAATATCAGGAGTTGATCTCCGTATTTTGACGCGTTGGAAGGCTTGCCTGATATATATTTGGCATCTTCACTCGCTGTGATCGTGGGGAACCCCATCGTCGACCTATCTTGACTCGGGCGAGTTCCTGCACTCTTCAAGTGGTAGTCGCAAAGCCTAGAATCGTGGTCAAAAGTACCTCCTTTTCCAGCAAATCCACCGTCTCGCTCCAGAGTTTCTTCTGAACCTTTTCGCCTTCCGTGGAAAGAACAAAGTTCGAAGGTCTGCAATGTAGGACATAGTCAGCAAAAGGCAATCAGTATAGCGAAGAGACATAGCATACGAGGTCTCCTTCTGTTCGCTTAGATACTGACCGTGAGACTCTTCATGGAGCACTAATGCATCCACCAAGCAGTGCCCACCCTGTGCGCTGGTCCATGAAAGCATTTTGAGGACCAGGTTATACAAACTCGTCATCTGATAGCGGTGGAGACCGCTATAGCACCACCCCGGATTGGGCGTGTTGATGATGACTTCGCTCCTATCAACCCTGCTCGCCAGCTCTCTCGTCCAAAACACGTTGAGTAACTTCGACGTATAATATCTCTGCATGACCCTGCCGAACGTCTCTCTCTCGTCCAGCCGCGCAAGGATGTTAGGGGCGTTCCGCTCCTTAAATGGGGTCCAGAAATGCCCTTCCGAGGACACTATCGTCATCCGTGATGGCTTGCCCGTTTGTTTCGCCGTCTTCTGTAGAGTCGGCAGGATGAGCAATGAAAGAAGTGATGTCCCGATGTGATTTATTTGCACATTCGTTTCATGCCCCGTATGCGACGCCGTGTACGTCACCTGCTTCAAACCTGCATTGAGAAGTACATAATCAAGCCGATCGAGAGTCGCGACTTTGGCGCCGAACGCGACCATGCTCTCGTAGGAGTCGTAGTCTAGCTGCCATACTTGGACATCACAATCGGGGCTCTCCTTTGAAAAGGTAGTTTTTGCGGTTTCACCCTTCGAGGTGTCCTTGACGGCTAGAATAAGACGTGATAGTTTGTGGGAAGCGAGTTCGCGGGCGGCTTCGAAGCCGAGCCCGATATTTGCGCCGGTGATGAGACCTGTGTTGCCCGCTAGGGAGATGGTTGGTGGAAGGGGTTTGGGTTTGAAGGTTAGTTGGCGGTAGAGGAAGCCGAGGAAGCCGCCCATTTTGTTGACGTGTTGTCAGAATGGAAGGGATAGAGAGGTGTATTGGCTTTAGCCGAGTACGTCGCTCATATTTCGGCACGATGATGAAGGTTGCTCTCTGCTTATAGTCTGTATAATGTGGAAAGCAACCAGTATCTTGTAGGAGACTGGTGTAAGCCCACAGGGGGTCACACCTCGTCTCATCCTGCCCGATCTCCCCGCCAAGCCACTAGGCTCTCACGCTTGTTCCTTCCCAATATTTCAGGGGGCTTCTAAGATTTCTGCCCGAGCATCTTCTTCATCAACTGTCTCGCAGTCCAGGGCTGATGCATCAATGATATGGTGCTGAGAAGCATATTCCGTGGAATCAAAAGCCGCATTCTATCGTTGACGCCCTTCCTGCATCAGAGAGACCCATGCTATGTTCGAAATCGACCGTTCATCCTTTATCACACGTATGTCCAGAACATCGAAAGGGATGACCACTCAGAAGCTGATGGATTTGGTCTTGATGGACTCAATGCCTCAACTAAACCCTTCATGGGCTTTCTTTCTTCTAGGCTACTTAGTTCCGTTCGCCTCGTACGGTTTGTCTTCGCTATACACGTCATACTTGTATGTGCTGCCAATATGATCCTTTCTGACCCCACTCTGGCCCTTTCCATACACCCTTTCTCTGGCTGTCAAGCCTTCTTCAATTGCCTCGGGGTACAGCCCTCGTCTCCTCAGTTCCGGAATGAGCAGATCGACTACATCTTCAAATGTCCCGGGTGTCGTGACATAACCCAGATTAAACCCATCAATATCTGCCTCACGAACCCACCTCTCCAACTCATCTGCCACCGTTGCTGGACTCCCAATTGCCACGGGGCCTAACCCGCCAATCGACGCCTTGTCCGCGATTACACGTGGCGTCCATTTCGGAATATCCTTACTCGTGGTCGTGAACGAGTCAAGCAGACTCCGGACTTTATGCGCTTCCAAAGAGTCCGCGGCCGTAAGTTCTTGGTCTAGCGGATACTTGGAGAGATCGATACCCGTCCAGCCGCTCACGAGTACTAGCCCGCCTTCCGTAGATGCGTACTTCTTCAACTCGTCGTGCTTGGCTCTTGCCTCCTCGTCTGTCGCGGCTACGATCGGCGTGAAAGTCGCAAAGAACTTGATGGAGCGCGGATCGCGTCCATTTTCTGCGGCGAGCTTTCTGATTGCGTCGATCTTGGGGCGAAGGACTTTGGTGGAGTGGGAGGAGACGAAGATGCCTTCGGCGTGGGTGGCAGCGAACTGGGAGCCGGCCGGGGAGGTGCCGGCTTGGAAGATGAAGGGCGTGCGTTGTGGAGATGGGTCTACGATGTGCTTGGTGTCTAGATTGACGTACTTACCATGATGGTGAATTGTGCGGATCTTGTTTGGGTCGGCGTATTCGTCTTTCGCCGGGTCGGGGGAAACGGCGTCGTCAGCCCATGAGCCTTCCCAAAGTCTGAGACGTTCAGATTCCGTTCGTAAGTTATGCTGAGCAGTTTGTGGAGACTTACTTGTACAGAACTCGCAGATACTCATCAGCTTGCTGATACCGCTCATCGTGCTCGATAGGAGTGTCTAATCCAATGGCTTTGAATGCAGCCTTCTTCCAGCTTGTAACTACGTTCCAGCCTATCCTACCCCCGGTCAGGTGATCGAGAGTTGAGAATCGTTTTGCTAGTAGAAATGGCGGCTCGAACGATGTCGAGGCCGTGATTGCGAATGAGAGGTTTTTCGTCACTGCTGCCATTGCTGATATCGGCTACGCGTATCAACTGTCAGCTTCCCGGAATCGTCATCTTCCTTTAAGTTTTGTCTCTCTTACGATAGTTGGATCAGTGACAGGCCATTGTGCAGCCCTTCGGATGCAATTGTCTAAACTGCCTTCGTAGGTATCGTATCCACCATAAGTGTCGGCTAAAAACAGGGCGTTGATTCCACCGCGCTCCAGAAGCTTGGCTAGATCTATCCAATATTTGAGAGTCCGCTTGGTAGCAGATTTATCATCTGGATTCTAAGAACGCTTAACATGAGCAACTCGATCTTAAAGTACCATATCCCAAGAATTACCTTCCATTGACCGGGAGACAAATGTCCGATCGTAGACATGTCGAAAGCATTGAGAAGGATATGTTTCTTTGGCTCGGCAGCATTGCCGTTTTGGGCAAGGGCTAGAGTGCTCGTCATAATGAAATGGTAGAAAGGTCAAGGTGTATTATTTCGATTTTACTTCTTAGGTTTTGAAGTCAGACGACTCCTTTATACATTCATCGGCTTTCTCGATAACGGCCTTCTTACCCTGGTTACAGCGCTAGTAAAGTAGGTGGGGCACGATCCTGCGCAATGCCCGTTGGTGATTGCGCCATACGTCAATGGTGGATTGGGGCAACGCCTTTTCACGACACTATGGGGTTTATTGGCCAATAAATTCAACACTTTGGCATAGCCCGTGGGTCACTTTGCGAAGCGAAGTTTCGCCATAACTTCCCGAGGGTTAGACGCATAGGTTGCCCAAAAAGCTTGGAGGTGAGTCTTGTGATATTTGCTACTGAATGCCGTTTACCCGTCAAGCGCTCTTTGCAACATTTCTATCTTCTTGTCGAATTGCTAAAAATGCCTAGAGCCTACTCTCAACGGACCGCGCGTCCGGTGAATGCCCTTTCGCGGGGGTCTCCTCATGTACCTCTACCACCCTTTCGCTGTCGTCGACAGTCCCATTTTTCGGGTTACTAGACACGAATGTTAGCAATCATGTCGGTCTAAGGACAGCTTTAAGAACTTACTCTTTCCGCTCGATATACCACGAGATTATGTGCGCGAGGGCAATTAGACATACCGCATTCGCCAGTACGAAAGGGTACCCCTTCTTGAACCGCGGAGCCTCCATAGTCTTGAATGTCAAAAGCGGAGTCCATGCAGTGGTTGACTGTGCTAGAGCATTCGCCAGAAGGAGCGTGAAAGATCGCTCTGCCGGAGAATACTTCAGCTGGCTGTTGATCCATCCGTACAAAACGCTCGACATGGCGACTGCGGAGTACGTCGTCATGAACGCGAACCACTTCGCCGGCTCCGGAACATCCCATATCGTCAGAATCACTAGTCCGATGATGTTCCACGTATGCGCCAGCGTAATTGCCCAAGCAGGCCCAAGGAGCAGGTCCGACGAAAAGCACACGAGGAGCGTATAGAAGATACCGAGACCTGGAGACGCTGTACCAAGCTCGTTCAGTCGGCTCTTAGAGTAGCGTTTCAAGCTCTTGAGCCAGAGAAGATACCCGCCTGTCGATGTGTTGACACTGCCATTCCAGAAGAAGACATCCAGAAGCAGGAGCGCCCAAATCCGCGGACTCTTCGCCAACTTCACGACGGTACCCCACGTGACTTTTCCGGTAAGCACGTGGCCTGCCCTTTCTAGCCGAAAAGACGCAAGCTCGATGTCTTTCTTCGTTAGAATCAGTCGATTGGGCTTGTCTGGCGTTCCTGGAAGAACTACGAGTCCGAGCAGGCCGATTGGGATGGTGATGATGGCGCAGATGATATACATCCACCTCCAGCCGGCGAGTCCATGGAGGCCGTCTAGTTTCGCTGACGCACCGGCTTGGATGAAGCCTGCGGTCATGGTTCCTAGGGTGAGACCGACATAGAACACGCCGCCCCTTCTGGCAATTTCGTCGCCACGATACCAGGAGCCGAAGATGAAGTGCATCGCCGGGAAAAAGGCAGCCTCAAACCACCCGACCAAGAAACGATACGCCGCGAGTTCAGCGTAGGAGTTGGCTCGGTACTGAAGCAGCGTAAACACGCCCCAGACGACATCCAGAGATGGTATTAACAAATACATCGGAATCTTAGGGAATAGAAACAAGAATGGCAGCTGTCCAAGAACTGCACCGAGGGTGTACAGCGTCTGAAGATGTACGAGCTGATTGTTTTGGAAGTTCAGGTCCTCTTTGAGACCTCCGACGTACGCATTGTCTATCTGAGGGTCAGCACTCGACTATACACGTGATCCAGGAGTTTCGACGTACTTATGTTTGCTTGGTCGATGTATTTGACCCAGTAAGAAAGAAAAGCATAGGGGACGATTAGGAGATCCAGCTTCAAGATGAGCTTACGTTCTTCGGCAGTGTCCTCGTCAGTGAACCACTTGATGCGGTACCATTTGGACGATCTCTTCGGGATTGCCATGTCGACAGAAATCGAATTCAAAGATGATAATGCACTTGGATGCAGACGGGCGGTCCAGATCTACATCTTTTATCTTGGCTGGTGCAGTATACCTACGACGCAGATTTTCTAAATCGTCAATATGCCACGACATTGCGTAAGTAGAGTTTACTACCACATTAATGGGTTTACCTCGGATGTCTGACTTGAAACTGTGAGCATAGGTAAATAATAAGACCGAGATGCTACTATCGAGAAAGGCGCCGCGATACGATGATGGACAGATGAAGCGCGTGGGAGACATCGTAGGCCTTGGCCTGGACTTACGTTACTAACGCCTCCACGCCCCAAGCCGTGGATCATCATCGGAGCTTGTATCACGCAATAGAAACGCAATAGCCTGGGATAATATCACTCGCTAGTGGGGCTGCCCAGATAGGCAATGCGAGAGGATACTGCAGAGTCAACTTCCATGCACGGCACGACGCAGCCAATGGTTCGCCTAATTAAAGTCGTGCAACGTCGTGCGGGCCGATCAACGGCACCTAGTATTTATGGGGCCTCCGATTTGTCGTTGATAAGGCTGTGGAGCAGTCGTGGTTTTTGTGATCGAGTGGGGCAAAGGCGTGCTCACCATTGTCCGTTGATGCCAAGGATCAACCCCAACATACGTAAGGGCAACGTTGAAACACCACTCACCCGACATATTCCTATCGTGTAAGATACCCTCTTCTTTACCTTGCAAGCCACAAGGTCAAGAATTGGCCGAGAAGGGTGTTGCGCTCCGAAGCTGACGATAAAGATAGTCCCGAGGACCACCCATAATTGGACGTTCGGTACAGTACACTTCACTAAACATCTATTCCAATATGCCACCGTCTCTCGAAGACCCTATCCAGGCGGCAGAAGACCCACACCTCGAGGCCGCTGAAGAAAAGCTCGATACATGGACAGTTCTTCCATTGCCGCCAAAGTCCCAGGCGCCGTTGAATTATCCAAAGTCCAACTTGAAGCTTGAGGACCATTGCATCGACGATTTACGAAAGCTGAGAGTGGCGGTAATCGGAGCAGGCCTATCTGGAATATCAGCGGGTATTCTACTGCCAGCAAAAGTTCCAAATATTGACCTGACTATCTTTGAGAAGAACCAGGACGTGGTAAGACTTAGCCTCAACTTTTCCCCTCGGTACTATTTCTAATTGTCTCATCTTGCGCATTTAGAGTGGTACGTGGCTTGAAAACATATATCCTGGAGTTCGCTGCGACATCCCAGCCCACGTCTACCAAAGCACATTCTCGCCAAACACGCAGTGGTCGGAACGGTTCGCCCAAGGTCCGGAGATTCGAGATTACTGGCAAGCTCAAGCTCGCAAACATGATGTCTACCGTTATATCAAACTGGGGCATCGCATCGAATTTGCAGAGTGGGAAGAAAAGGAATCCAACTGGGTGGTGAAGGTGCATGACCTGAAGACGGATGAGACATCCGACGAAAAGTTCGACTTTGTAATCTTGGCTATTGGACGATTTAATCGTTGGAAGCTCCCCGATTATCCAGGAGTCGATGAATTTAAAGGTGTGCTACGACACACCTCAGACTGGGACCCTACTTTTGAGCCTAAGGGGAAGACCGTCGCAGTCATTGGAAACGGAGCAAGCGGCATTCAGGTGACTCCGGCTTTACAGAAGACAGCGAAGCATGTGGGCCATTACGCTCGAAATCCTACGTGGATCGCAACTTCGTGGGCTGGAGACGAAAGGATAGATGGACCGCAGCCATATTCAGAAGAACAGCGAGAATCGTTCAATGACCCGGAAACCTATCTCAAGTTCCGAAAAGAGCTTGAGGTGAAGTATTGGAGGCGATTCAAGGCGATGCTTAGGGGCTCGGAGGAGAATGCAGGCATGAGAGAGACGTTTATTGAGATCATGAAGAAACGCACAGAAGGGAAACCAGAGCTATTGGCCGGCCTGATTCCAGATTTCGCTCCTCATTGCCGACGTCTTACCCCTGGTCCTGGCTACCTGGAAGCTATCACACAGGACAACGTCGAATTCATCCAGACCAAGATCAAGCGATTTACTGAAACTGGAATTGAGACCATTGACGGAAATCACCGCGAGTACGACGCAATCTTCTGCGCTACTGGCGCAAATATTGACCTCGCGCCACCTTTCTCCGTGAAATCGCGCGGAATTGACCTGAAAGATGCATGGAAGCCCGGAGGCGTTTTTGGGTTTCCTTACACCTATCTTGGGCTTGCCACGCCAGGGTTCCCAAACCTTCTAATCCTCGCAGGCGCACATGCCACTGGACCTTCCGGTACAGTGCCACATAGCGTGGAGACTCAGCTCACTTATTACGCTAAGCTCCTCCGAAAGGTGTCATCGCAAGGCATTAAGACCATTGTTCCAAGCAAGAAAGCTGCGGATGACTTCATCGAGTATTCAGATGCCTTCTTCCCCAAAACAGTCCTCACAGACAACTGCAGCTCTTGGAACAACGGTGGCAGACCAGGTGCCCGAATTCACGGGCTCTGGCCTGGCAGCGCTGCCCATATTACCATTGTTCGTCGTGACCCTCGATGGGAAGATTGGGAGTACGAGTATATCACCGACAGTGGTAATAGGTTTGCATACTTTGGTAATGGCTACACGAAGAGGGAAACCGAGCCAGGTGCCGACTTGACGACATACCTCAAGCTGCCATCAGAGATCAACCTGAAAGACCTTCACGAGAGCTGGTGGGACTTACCTTGATCAAGTCCCGGTACCTACAACCTGGTTCATGGGATTTGCTTCAAGATTTCGGAGTTCTATGTTCAGGGGCTTCGATATTACTTTCAAATGTGCCTTATACTATCAAATTCGAGTGTCCAATAACTTCTCGGCTTTCTTAGCGCAAATAAACACCCTTTCAGACAATAAGAGGCGTTATAAGCGCCGCATATCATACAGTTTTTTGCAACGTTTATAGACTAATACAACCTCACCGCTCAACCGTAGTTCACCCATTCTGAAACAATCGCCGAAGTGAATGGACATATCTCGGCCTCTGCTCGTATACGATAGGAGAATTTTCCGTGCCCAGAAGGCGGGACACGGTGGCATGGCGTGCGGGGTTACTTGATATGTCGCGATATTTGCGTGCTCACACCCCTGCCATTGCTGTGCAATACCTGGTACAAACTTCGTGTGACGGAGACATCGCTAAGTATCTGTGGCGTGTGTGGTATCTATTGTGTATATATTCTTCAAGAGTACCGGAGAGTTCAATTGATCTGCAGGGTATCTCGAGCTTCAAGTTCCACTCAACCATTTTCACTAGACTTCTCGTTGGCTTGGGAGATCGCTTCAGCCCCGGCGGAGACTAAGACAATAGTTCATCGTTCCAATTGAGCTACCAGCTCTATCTAGATCAAAATGGGAACTCCCTTAGAGCCTCAGGAATCCGACTCTCACGTTCAAGATGATTCTCGCCCCGAGGATACATCACACCCTAGTACGCCCCCTCGATCCACCTTCATCATTACCACCAAGCTAATCTTGTTGAAGCAAAATGGTACCGCTCAACCTTCTACAACATCACCATTCTCGGTTTATGTAACTTCGCCGCACCCGGAATCTGGGGCGCCATGAACTCGCTTGGAGCGGGTGGCGCTGCATCGCCGCATCTCATCAACTCCGCCAACGCGCTTACCTTTTGTTTGATGATCTTGGGTTGCCTCTTTTCGAGTGTGCTTGTAAGATACATTGGCATTAAGGGGGCGCTGCTTTTCGGAACTCTGGGATATGCACCCTACGCTGCTGGCCTCTATACTAACAACCGTTTCGGGACCGAATGGTTTGTTCTTTTCGGAGCTGCTCTATGCGGTATCTCTGCAGGAGTCTTTTGGATGGCCGAAGCAGCTATTGCTATTGCTTATCCAGAGCCTTGGAATAAGGTAAGTCTGAGACTTTCTAGGCAAGCCGCTATTCCAAAGCTCACTAACGGTTTTTCTAGGGCAAAGCACTCGGCTATTGGTTGACCTATCGTCTATCTGGGCAGATCTTAGGCGGTGCCATCAATCTGGGAATCAACGCGAAGAACAACCAAGCCGGGAAAGTCTCGTATACCGTTTTCCTCGTCTTCATTGCTCTGCAAGCTACCGGCCCATTTGTTGCTCTATTATTAAACAGGCCATCCAAAGTCCAGAGGAAGGATGGAAAGCAGGTGCATTTGAGCATTGTAGATGATCCGATCCTCGGGATCAAGAAGACGTTGCGACTATTCTTCACGAAAAATTTCCTCCTCATTGTGCTTTGGATTGGACAAGCCGTGTTCGCAGAGGCCGTGTTTTTCACCTATCGTAAGATGATCCTACCATTCTACATTTTTATCTAGGATCTAGCTAATACAGACACAGTTTCGCGTGAGTGGTGTATTTACAGCGCAGTGAACCTAGCACGAAGACTAACATAACCCAGTATGGTTCAGCGTTAGAGCCCGCGCTCTCGGGTCCTTTTTGTCCGGGATCGTTGCCGTTATTTCGGGCAATATTCTAGGGGTACGCCAAAGCCACGTGACCTCGCAACGAATTGAATCGATCACTGACCATCATATAGGCCTACTTAGATTCCAAGCGTACAACCTTGAAGTCCAAGGCTCGCTATTCGTTCGCAGTCATTGCAGTACTCCAAGGCGCGTGGTGGATCTGGGCTACAGTCGTAGTAACCAAGTTCCGGCACACGAAGCCAACCTACGACTGGTCAGACCCAGGTTTTGGCCACGCGTTTGGAGTCTTCATCCTCTTGAACACCGGATTTCAGATCAACTATCTCTTCCTGTAAGTCCTTCGGTGCTCTTTTCGAGTCGAATTGATACGAGCGTGGCATTTAGGTACTTCATGATCACCAACCTCGCCAAAAACGAGCCGGAGGTCATCCGATACGCCGCTCTGCTTCGAGGTACCGAGTCTGCATGGCAAGCGCTCAGCTACGGATTAAACTCTATCACGATATTCGCGCAAGTGGGTAGCGTGTATCTCAATTTCGCGCTATGGGCCATTGCTCTCGTGCCTGCGTGGCTCGTCTTGAGACACTTTGGAGTCGAGGCATTACACAAGGAGGCAGAATTGGGAGGTCTTGACACGCCAAACAGCACAGGCAAGGAAGAGGTTGGTGTTTCGGACCACGAGAGAAAGCTTTCGGTGACCTATATTCCTGATCCGGTCGACAAATAGTAAGCTGCCATTTCAGTTGCCAAGTATGGGGTATCAAACATATAGCCAGATGTTCAGATTTGAGCCGTTTTGTATCAGATTCAAACCCTGTATCTCCGACGTACATATTTAAAGGACTAGGTCTAGGTGAAGCTAGATTCGTGTGTAAATGAGATGGTGGAAGTAGAACCACGATCCGCAGATAGAAGTTTGCTCAGTGCGCGTGTAAGCATCGTCTCACGGCTTCCGGGGTATTCTCGGGAGCGTAAAGCGGTAGTAGTAATTGTATGTACGTAGCTCAATTACAGCATTACAGCATCATACGATCCTCCGTCTTCCTTAGTTTAGTCGTTCCGGACAAAGAGCACAAGCGGGGCACAGTGGGTATTTTCTCCCCTTCGGACCTCGAATGGGTGGGCCTGAGTATTTATTCTTGCGTGCCATATTGCGTCCTCTCACCCCGGACTCACGTCATCTACGCTAAGCCACGTGATTGCTACATCTTCTAGCTTGGCTATTGTGTCGTTATCATCTCTACATATGCCTAATTTTTTAGAAGATCTAGATCCAAGCATAGCAAACATGACGGAACAGAAGCAAAAGAAGCTTATCATCAATGCCTTCGTAGAGATGTGTAAGCTCACGTGACTTAAGCGAACCATGAGCATCCTTACTGACTTCCACTCAGGCAGCGGACACCAGTCCCCTGGTCTCTGGAGACATCCCGATGATGAGTCCCACAAGTTCAACGACGTCGGACACTGGGTTGAACTAGCGAAGCTACTCGAGGCTGCTAAAGTTCATGGGATATTCATCGCTGATGTTTTGGGTAAGGCTTCTATTCCTAAAGCGGCAATGTTTGATCCGCGGAGCTGTATTGAGGGACTCACTAGGTGGCTACGACGTCTACAATGGAACCCTTGACGCGGCCATTCGATCGGGTGCCCAGTGGCCGGTCAATGAGCCACTTGCAGTGGTCTCGGCGATGGCTGCGGCGACGAAGAGTATTGGGTTTGGCGTTACGGTTTCGACGACGTATGAGCAGCCGTATCATCTTGCTAGGAGGCTATCGACGGTGGACCACCTTAGTAAGGGACGGTAAGATGTTTCTGCTCATCACCTGTCCTTGTCTTTCTGCTTCATCGGTCGTTCTTTTGCAATTATTCGATTCATGTTTAAATTCCTACGCTGGCGGTTCGCTTCTTTCTTCTAATCACACGTACCTCTAGACTCGGCTGGAATGTAAGCTTTGTCCTTAACCTCTTTCCAAATTAAGCTCACCCAAACCCTCAAGATCGTGACCAGCTACCTCGACTCCGCCGCCCGCAACCTAGGCTTCACTGAGCAACCCAAAGTACCCCCCTGCCCCTTTCTTACTCTTTATCCACCCAGCTTACCCAATCCAAGCACGACGACCGCTACGCCCAAGCCGAGGAGTACGTCCAAGTAATCTACAAGCTCCTCGAATCCTCCTGGCGCGACGACGCCGTAATCCTCGACCGCGAAAAGGGCATCTACACCGACCCCACCCGCGTCCGCGAAATCAACCACAAAGGCCGCTTTTTCAACGTGCTCGGCCCGCATATCTGCCAACCGAGCCCGCAGCGCACGCCCCTTCTTCTGCAAGCCGGAACCAGCAAAGCGGGCAAGCAGTTCGCTGCTCAGCACGCGGAGGCGATCTTCGTTTCAGCACACGCACCGGTGGTTTGTGCGAAGAACATTGCGGAGATCCGAGAGCTCGCGAAGACGGAGTTCGGGAGGACGCCGAGTAATATCAAGGTGCTGGCGCTTGTGACGCCGATTCTAGGACGGACGACGGAGGAGGCGCAGGAGAAGTTTGAGGAGTACAAGAAGTATGCGTCGAGCGAGGGGGCGTTGGCGTTGTTTTGTGGGTGGACAGGGATCGATTTGGGGAAGTATGGGGATGAGGAGGAGTTGAGGCATGTGGAGAGTAATGCTGTCAGGTATGTAAATAAAAGGAGAGATCACTTGGTGGTTGGTGAAAGCGGACTAACGGCGATAGATCGACCGTGGAAGGGTATGCGCGTTTTTCTCCGGGTACCTCGAAGTGGACTAAGCATACGATCGCGGAGCATATCAGCATTGGGGGCAACGGCCCGGTGCTAGTTGGAACTCCTACACAGGTGGTGGACGGACTGCTGACTTGGGTCAAGGAAGCCGATGTGGATGGTTTCAATTTAGTACGTCGCGGACCTTTCGATTGCGCAGTAATGAAGGTAAACCAAGAAAGTCACACTAACGTGGTATATTAGGCCTACACCCTATTCCCTCAGTCATTCAAAGACATCGCGGAACTTCTTCTCCCCGAACTGCAATCTCGAGGCCTCTTTTGGGACGACTATGCAGTTCCAGGAGGCACGTACAGGGAGAACTTCTACCAGAAGCCTGGGCAGTCTGGGCCTCTAGATGAGCACGTTGCGGCATCTTATCGATGGAAGGCCGAGTAAGCCTGATCTAGGGCCTAGTGAACTTTACATCTTGTTTTGAATTTGATGAATGGGCATGGGGTAGGTCACATGGTCAAGTAGGATACCAAATCGCATGCGCTATAGTCCTGATATATGGTCTAGCGGAATTTATATGAGATATCCTGATTTACAGCCTCGTGAACTTTATATCGTGCTGTGTTCTTTGATCAAGCGGCGTGACGTAGCTCAAGTGTCCAAATAGGTTGCCAAACTGCACGCGCCACCGGCCTTGATTAGAGCGTGTTTGAGTTTCCGTCCAGTCTTGGATCAGCCATGGACGTGTCTTGATTGAGAGGCTCATAGCTTTTCTATCTTATTTGTTACCGAGACAATGTGCGTGAGGTGGCTCAGGTAATCAACCAGGGTCGCAAAGTGTCCGTATCATGGCGCTGGTGTAGGTCTCAGTGGAATTCGCACCTATGCGACCATCACAGTAACTATGTGCTGAATTACAGGGTCGAGAATTTTACGTCTTATTTCATTTTAGATGCATGCACCTGGGGTGGCCCAAGTAGTCAAAATAGATCCGCAGACATTACGCGAGAAAAGCCAGATTTAGGACGTCGTAGAATTTTCATCTGATTTCAGGTTTCCTAGTGGCTACGCCCTGATATAGAGTGCCACAGCTTTTACATCTCATTTAATTCTGGCCGCACAGACATGGGGTACCTCACGTAGTCAAGCACATTAGCAATTCAAAAGCAATTTTGTCTAATTCGTACAGTCTAAGCCTAATACGCACTCATTCCACCGCAAAGGTGGCGCTATTCAAGTGACTACACAAAGGGGCCTTATACCGGAACATTCGCCAAAGAAACCCCCAGATACCACTACTCAGCGTTGGCCAGAACGTCGAAATAGCCAGAAGATGCAACCTGGAGGCCACGCGGCGGGGCCTTCTTCCCCTTCTTTCCACCACGCCTCTTGCCTCCGCGCACCTTCACCTCACCCCCCGCCTCAATCTTCTCCTTCTTTTCGCCTTCCTCGGACTCACCCTCTGTGTCCTTGTTCTCCTCTTCGGGCTTTTTCTCCCCCTGAGAGGGCTTCTCCTCGGCGCGCTTCGTCTCCTCAACCTCCACCTCTCCAGCCTCAACTCCAGGAACTTCCGGAACATCCACCACAGCCGACCGCGGCACACCACGCCAATCCCACTGGCTCATCCGCTTGTTGTCGTACGCGGAGGTCTCCCCGTCCCACCACTGCGTCTCCTCAGCGCGGAGGTATCCCGGGAAGAACTCCTCCAGAAGCGCATAGCCCGTGTTCTTGTACGTGACTTCCGCGTCCATAAGCCCATCCATAACCTTCGCACTCGTGATAGTCTCGACGTGCTTCAGCGGGATATTGCGCCTCGCCGGGTTGCGGCTCATGCCCGCGGCGAAGAGGTTCTGCACCATCCCTAGGCCCCCAACCACGATCAAGTACCAGTTGTTGGAACCCACACCGGCGATGGAGATGAGGATGGCGAGCCAGCAGAGGCCCTGTAGGGCGGCGACGACGATGGTGATTGCGAAGCCGAGGGGGGTGCCGAAGACGGTGATGGCGAGGCTGATAGGCTTGCCGGTGATGGCCTCCTTGGTGGTGCGAGTGAGCAGTGGCAAGGCTAGGGACTCCCACGCGCGCTTCGAGCGAGGCAGCTCCGGCGTGGCGAGGTCTTCGAGATCGAGGCAGTTGCCGTTGCCGCGGATGATCATGATGTCGCGCGAGCCGTTTCCGGCGGTCAGCGCGAAGACCTTCTTGGAGTTGCGGCGGCAGGCGAGCTTCTCGGCTTGCCATTGCGGCAATCCGCCTGCGATGAGGGCGAGGGCGGTGCCGGCTGTTAATGTGGTCATGGCGCTCCAGTCACCGTCTGTGTGGACAGGCTTGTAGGCAACCACACACTGTAGAAGCGCCGTGACGATGGCAGAGTAGAGGGCGTTACCATGACCGGCGATGGCAGCGTTGCCGGTATCGGGCTGGGCGTCGTAGACGGAGATACGGAGGGCTTCATTCTCGAGGGGTTTCGAGTTGTTCAGGTGGATGATGCTGTCCCTCGTGAGGCGACCGATCACCCAGTTCCTATTCTCGCGGACATATCCGGTCTCGATGTTGTAGACCTTGACGAGGTGATCGGGTTCGGGCAAAAGACGGCCGTCCCCGGTGATGCTGGTGAGTGCTTTGAGCGAATAGCCAACCCAGCCGAACGAGAAGCAGACAGGCGTGACAGCACCTCCGGACGTTTGAGATAGCGCCTTCTGCACGACATCTCCGCCGAGAAGGAGCAGTATAGCGAGCACTCCCTGAGGCTTGCCCCACTGCTCCAGAAGCTGATGTAGAGGCGGGGCGTTGTGGCTGGAGTCCATTGCAGATAGCGAGGCGTTTATTAGGTATTGCGAAAGACGTTTTTTGTGAAAAGCTGGTGATTGGGTGTGGTGTGAGTGTTTGGTGGACGTTTGAAGAGGCTGATGGGAATGTTAATAAGTATGATAGATTTTATAGATGGGGATGATCTTGCGCAAACGATCGGCATGATGGTGAATGCAATGAGAGCAATATCTGAGAGAAATCTTACCTCCTGGTGGTGTTTTGGGGAGACTGGCGGAACTGAGGGGCGTCAGCACGACCATTGCAATTTATAGAAACGAGAGGGCGATGTGCAGGAGATGGACCTGACAGTGAATGACCGTGAGGATTTATCGAGAGGCTCGAGACTTACTAGGTGGAGAGAATTTGTTATGATGGTGCGGGAGGCGGGTGGGTTGTTGGGGTGTGTTCGGCGGAGGAGTGAAGTTGACCGCCTTGTCCGTACGTCAATACACGTGCTCAAAATGTGACACACAGAAGGAGCATGTGCAGGTGGTTAATTTGGCAGTAGATTCACCTTCGAAATAGAAGAGTCTTGAGGCTTAGTAGGCTAAGATTACGTAGTAGCAAGATTCTGGCGGTGTGTTGATGGAAGGTCAGCGAACGCACAAGGCGAGTAAAACAACCACGGCAAGAAGACTCGAGAGTCGTAGGAGTCCTCTAATGGCTATTGCGACTTTACTAGCGCCACCGACGGAAGACCATGAAAACCCAAGACTGACGTCAAGAGACTCAATTCACCAGCTGATGTAGTAACATTCACACCGTTCATAGTTGGGACAATCGACCGCAAATCACTCAACAGCTCTATACTGGACTAGATTGGTCTCTCTACTCCCTGGCGCTGGAATAGTACCCAGTTGCTGATATGGAGGGCGTAGAAGAGGCTCGTGACCGACAGCTAGACCGAACTCATCATTGCCCTTGACGTCGGCGGGTGTGGTTGAAGTCCTGAGGTGAATGAAACGGTGTGTCTGAATTTGTGTCCGGGTACTGTATCCCTACTTACAATATCACTGAGTAGCGGTTGGGCCGGGAAGGCGATGTCTAGCCGTGACAGGTCCTTATTCTGAGGGCGAAGAAAGCCTACGAACGTACCCAATGTCTCGGAATCACGGTGGCAGAGGGGGATGAAGCGGGAGGAGGCGGAGAGGAGGGCGGGAATAAGGAAATCCAGCGGTGCGAGTCGCTGCCGACGCTGTGGAGGAGGAGGAGGGGCTGGCTGGCGCTTTCGGTGGCGGAGAAGAGGGAGACGGCTGGGTGTTGGCACAAAGGCCTGGTGGTTAACCTGGATGCATTTATGTGGCTTGGCTTCTTTTTGAGGTTGTAGGCTCACACTTTTCTCGAAGATGGGCGACGAAGATGGGCGCGGCGAGGATGAGGAGATTCTGGCGATGCGTGATTTCTGTTTGCTTCTCCGCAGTGTCGGACGATGGCCCTATCCGCGGGCTGCGCAGTGGATAGGTTCTCTTCCAAAGTAAAGTGCAGCTCTACGGGTATGTTGATCGCCGAGTGAGGGAGCGATCTAGCTTCAAAGGGTTAAAGGTATGTCTTGGTCAGCTGTAGATGTCTCCTCGCTTTATTTTAGTCTAATACATACGATAAATCTCGATCTGAGCTCGAATCTAGGGTGATAATCCGAAGACACTAATGGTCTACAAGTCCAGCTTCTCGCGGGATAGGTACTTGGAATCGTTTCCGCCCACTGCAGACCCAGTCAATCAAACCTCCAATAATAATTGCTCCCATGATTGGCCCCGCATAATTCATCGTATCTCGTGTAACCGGTAGCGCTGTCGGGAATGGCGTCCAGATTACAATGAAAATAATGTAGCATAGTGCGAACAGATTCAGCGGAATGCCCCATGCCCCTAGTCGGAACGGTCCGTAGATAGGTTTATTCTTCGAGAGGCGTCTTAGAAAGAAGAAGAGGATTGGCAAGATATACGATACATAGAGCCCGAGTGCGACGATTGAGATAAATGCATTAAAGGCTGTAGCGGAGCCAATATTGATGAGGGCAAGTAGGAGGGTGCAGATTCCCACAAGGCTGAGCGCGTTGAGTGGCATCTTTAGGCGAGTGTTGACCTGCGATAGCTAAACGTCAGTTACCGTGTTCTCTCCATCAAGTCGATTCCCTAAGCTCAAGAACGTAGAAGAGTGGGTTGTAGCGGAAGTATCTAGAGAGCGGACGGCCCAGAGTCCAAGTCACTGGCGCTAACCTGATACAGTGAGAGTGTGTGCTTGAGATAACGCGTCGAAGGAAGCCTTTTAGTTGACCAAGAGAAGCCGGCACTGAAGAAGGAATATCGCAACAGGAACGGTTCACTTTACCTTTCCAAAGAAGCTCGAGAATGGAAGCCCATTGTCTCTCGAAAATGCCCAAACAAGACGCGATACCGATGCAAATACGTTGAAGAAGGCTATTAATAAAACAATTGCGAAGACAATAATGAACAGGTTGGTAGCGCCTTTTGAGCCGGTTGCCTCGTAGAAGACTTCGATGACAGGAAGACCTGTAGGCGAGCCGGCAACTTTTTCAACATCGCCAATGGTAAAAAGTAGGCAAATTACAAATGCACACGACATTGTTGAGTTCATGACGACGGCAGCAACCATGCTACGGGGAACGCGAATCTTAGCCTGCTTGACTTCGTCGCCTAGAACTTGTGTTAGAGGTAATATATCGAGATGGACTCGGATTACGTACTCATATGAAGCACGCCGTCAAAGCCTGGTAGTTAATTAGCTTTTTTGTCCTATGGAAATTAACGTCGTCCACCCCCAGCGAGAAGGGCCCGCATTCGATAATTAGTGGAGCTTTTGATGGGACGAGCCGTTACTATAGTCTAAATTATTCCAAGTGCGACGAACTCGCGAAACTTTCACGGTGGTTCTCGGATGGTGGTGGGCGACGTTATGCAGATTTGGGCAGCTTACCTGAGATTGGAAACGTTACCGTCAGCAGTCCTATCCCCCAAGCTACCACCGGATCTGTCCATCCGCTAACATCATGGGTCAAAGTATTGAACACATAGTCAGCAGTGCTCCGCTTTGCGAGTACTGCGAGGGTGATGATTGTAATAAAGAAGAAGAGCACATGCAGGACTGCACCAATAGCCTCAAGTGGACTAAGGAGGCGCCTGAACCAGAAGTTTGCGATAAATGGGAGGATAGTAAAGGCCCACATCACAAGGGTAAGATGCCATCTTTCGGGCACATAGTCCGGAAAGTTGAAGACGGCCAATCCTGCAACGACGTTGGAGAGAATGGCAGGACTCGAGGTGCAAGTACAAATCCACGCGAACACAGTGATCCAGCCTGGAGAGGTCCACGGTCATTTACTGTGCAGATATCAGCTCGAGAAGGGGTATTGCATACCTTGCATCAGGCCGAAGAACTCGTTCCACTTGGGGGCATATTTGGCACTCCACTGTTCGCACTCTCGTCAGCATCGTTGATGGTCTACTTCGAACTCCATTTACCCTATACTGGGCGCCGACAGCGGGGTCGATCGAGGCTATTTCAGCAAGCGAAAGGACTACAGTGGTAGTGCCGACAGCGGCAAACACACTGCCGTATACTATGGCAGCAGGTCCCCCATTGGAGAGGGCGAATTGGAAGGTGAGTGCGGTCGCTTCCCAGGAACATTGCAGGATGAAGCCAAAGTTGATGGCTGAGATAAAGCTAATGTATCGCTGCAGCAACGTTAGTGAGCTCAGGGACCAGAGTTGGGCGCCTTACTTCCAGAGTGCCGCCGTTATGGTGCAAACGCTTCTCATCAGCCTCCTGGGCTCCAACGAGCTCGGGGGGCGAATGCTCGATGTCTGCCGTGGTAGTGACCATTTCAATGTCACTCTTTACGTCTGCCATATTGTAAGCAAACAGAACTAGGTTAAGTTGTGGTAGAGTGGTAGAGTGAGGGATCAGCAGTGGTGTGGGCGGGCTGCGAGAGGTGGGCATCCAAGTCTTTTAGAGCCCTGAAGATTTGCTACAACTCGAAAACGTTGGAAGCAAGGTATGCACTGCACCATATGCAGCCTCTTCTGCTTCGAGAGACGCTAGAGGGCTGGGCACTGGGATACCACCTGTGCTGGGTATCGCGGTATCTGCATCGTGCCATCGTTGGGTGACTGTAGATTGCCGCGCTTTCAAGTAGGTTTCGCAGATCGACCTAGGTATCTACGAAGGAGCTCGTTTTTAGTGTTGCATAACCAAAACCACATAACCATTTCACCAACCACCAGTGCCCACCACGAGGCCAAATAAATTGTGAAAAAGGGCTCTGCGCTTCTCAGGCATACATTTCTCTATTCTTCTCGTTATATGTTCTTTTATTTTGAGTGTGGGTGCAGTGCACGGAAGTTTAGAGCAGCTTGGCATTACTTCGGTTATGCAACACTAAAAAAGAGCTCCTTCGTAAGCGATTTTAGTCGGGCGCGGGCTTCGGGACGAGTGCTATGCGTGGGAGCACCCGAGGCGTAGATCTATCTAGCGCAGAGCACACAGATGGACCATTCGCTACTTGCCCCGTGATCTCCCACGCGGGGACGACTCTGCTGCTGCAACGCGCTCGCACCCGCCAAGAATTAGATCCCCCTCGGAACGTCTCCAGCTGAGACGGCCTGCAAATCAACATTTTGAACAGAACGAATGCCGGGGTAGTCTAAACATCCAGGAAGATGTGAAAGCCTAGGGAAGAAAGGAGAGTCTTTGTAGTGAACTCACGCTGCCAACGATTGTTAATGATGCGTATCTTATCTTACGGCTGGAGTCTGGAAAACCAGAGAAGATGTAGAGCTCTTTGGATCGTAAAATAGGGAGGAGTGGAAAGGTTTATAGTGAGCTCATTGCTCTCGTCTTTGACTTCCAATTACATTATCTTGACGATATCTGAGTGCTTCGGTGGAGTCTCAACACTCAAAATGGACGTAAAGTCTATAGCGTGAATGAAAAAAGGGCTAGAGCGTGTATGGACAACTCGTAGGTGAGCTGATTTCGAAATCTAGGTATACTCACTTACCGTTGTCTAGGGTCCTCCTCCGGCGCAGTCCAAAATCGACAAGAGATGTACAGGCCCAAAGAAATAGAATCTCGCGTCGGTGAAGATTGATAATAGTATATCCGTCATGTTGCTGACGCCTTAGCCTCCAAAGCGCTGTGAGAGACACGGAAGAGCAGTAAGGCTTTAGGAGCGAAACGGATTGTCCAGATTTACGACCGAGTGCGGTGACAACGTACATGACTGGCAGAGGTAGGATTGGGGCTGAGTTGGAGGGACGAGGCACAGTGAATCACAATAAGCTTCGGTGCACCAAGACTGACTCCACTACGAAGGAGCGGAGGTCGTATAAGTGGCTTTTTTATGAGAGAATAGAAAGGGTGAACAGTAGGACGTCCTTTTATCTGTGCTTTGCGAGCTCGGGAGCACTCATGGTTACTGTTTACGCGGTCAAATCTACTTTAGCAAAATTGAGGATAGAAATTTAATCAGATGCAAAGCTAGCAGTTCTTGACGTACGCACGTATTTGTGGTAGGTAGCAAGTAAGCCAATCCAATGCTATCTCAAAATCTCCATAAGCGCTAGATGAGCTAGCATGCACGCTAAAATCTCAACTTCGAGTCGGGTATCGAAATCCCAGACCATTGAAACCCAAACACCGTCGCTAATGCAAAATGCAGAACACAAAAGAGAGTAACTGGGTATTTCTACGCGCAAAACAGATGCTTTAGACAGTTGCAAAGGGGAAGCGAAGTAGTAGTACACGTACTCGAGGATGAGCAGTGTTTGTTGAGTGAGGAACTCAAAGTTGTTGATAGGGCGAGTAAAACCCTCATCTCCGGTACACCCGGACCGAGATTCCACCTAGCGGGAGGATTTTGAGGATTTATGTCCAGTGAACGCATGCTTGGCGGGATCTATTGCTAGCGCCAGCCAGTAAGCGCTAATTGAGAGGCTGTGCAAAAAGATAGAGTCTGGAGGTGCGCGGCCGGGATGTGCTGGGCGGAGGTAGGTATTTGCGCATGGTGGTGTGACCAGAGACCGAGCATTCGGCTTTTCGACCTCCTTCATCGCATTTGAGGCAACACCATCCATATCCTGCCGTCGACAGGGAAGACACGTAATATGAGTAACGGCAGAAAAGCCAATCCAGTGAGAAATCTCACTTAGATGATTTCGTTCTTCGCCTGCTCGGTAATGATGTCTTTGCGGTGGTCCATGTAAAGTTTCTGAATTGGGGCCATGATGGCCTCCATGGTGGAGTTTGCTAGGTCGTCGCGGACGCGCTCTTTGCCGTACCAGTAGTGGCGCATGAAGATTCCTTCGCACTGGGCGGTCTCGGATGGGTAACCGTTCGCTTCTGTGCAGGGCAGTTCCTTGACGTTCTCTTCGTAGTCGTAGCGGATATAGTTTCCGAAGGCACTCTGCTCGTGGAAGCGCGGTTGTTTCCACTGCGAGCAGTCCGGGTAGCGGGTATCGTCAGGGCATTCGTGCCATGCCCTGAGGATCTCCTGGGTCCGTTCGCTCTGCTGAGCTATTATGAAACCAGTATTAGTGAGGGTGCGATTAAAGCGGTCGTCATTGGTTCCGGGGGGTCCGGAGGGGTCCAAAGGCATGGCGAGGGAGATCTCGGGGGTGATTTGCCAGTAGTTTAAGAGCCATTCCATGGGCATCTGCATTTGGTGGAAAGCGGCATCGGCGTCGAGGAAGACAACAAACTTGTAGTGCTTGAGGAGGTTCGCCAGGGCACTTGGTTTTATCCAGGTGTTGTGGCGGTCGTCGAAACTTGCGGCCTGAACGAATTTGTAGTCGTATCCGTGGATCATTGCTGCACAGGTTAGTCTCATGATACCCCAAAGAAGCGCAAAGCGTACCGTAGGTATAGTGGTTCATGACTCCACCAGACAGATAGTCTAGGTCGCCCCACCTGAATGCTCCTTTATGCAAGAGCTGACCATTCTTGTCCAGCGGTCGAGTCTCCAAGTCCACCACCAACAAGTCTTTTCCGAGGAGATTAGGGAACAGAGGTTTCGCTGGGAGTTTGTAGGATCGTCCGAGGTCATCGGTGAAAGAAGGAGTGGTAGGCTGCATCTTGAGGGGCGCATAGAGGAGTCGAAGGACTTCCTGTATGGAGACGGGACCGGAGGGTTCGACGGGGATGGTTCTATCTTGACTTAGTTGGGAGGAAAGCAGAATCGGTGAAGAAGATACGCACACTTGAACGGTCGTGCCACCGTGAGATCCCGGCCGAGGGATTGGCGGCTGGAAGGCCCAGAATCCGAGTACTGTCACGAACAGCACCACAGCTATGACGGACACGGCGACGAGATTGGATATCCATGGTGCTGAGCGCGCGCCCAGGATAGGAAGCACCATTTGAAAGGAGCGGCGGAACGAAAGGCAGGAGTTTGGGGGGAATAGGAGGCAAGGAGAGGTGAAGAAGTTTAGAAAGATCGTGAGATGACCCGGCGCTCAACTAAGGGTCCACGATTACTTTTAGCAGCCAGGCGGGCGGCGTTAGCTCTGGCGCCATGGCATGCGCTTGGCAAATCCGCATCGCGGCTCAGCCCAGCAGCAGCTGCGCGAGTCGACTGAGGGCCAAGAAATGCGCAGTGAGGGTGTCACGCTCCGCCGGCTCCCGGCATCGAGGCCAGGGCCAGAAAACGCCGACTGATTGGCGAGTCGCTGGCAGCGCGCCGTTGCGGCGAGCCTGGATCAAGATTGCACCGAGGAATACGAGCTTCAACAGGCCTTGGCGGGGGCATCGGCCTCCAAACTCTCCCACAGGCAGCCCCGCCGCTCCGCCGTCCGCGAGCGGCGAGCACGGCGCAAGGCTGACTCCAGACACTATCTCTAAGGGGGCAGGTTGCTGATTTGAGGGTCGAGGTCGCGAGATGGGGCGGGAGCGTCGATCTGGGCGGGTACTTTGGCCAGGAGGTGCAGCGGGCTGACCTCAGATGCTGCTGCTGACTCCAGCATGTCCAGAACACGGCAACCTTGCTGGCAGTCGTGGCAGAGGCTGTGAGGCAGAGCACTCTGAAGCAGCCTGTCGTGCAAGGAGGAGGCACAGCGAAGGGTTGAGGGCCTTGGCGACGTCCTGCCACTGAAGTGATCGTCACACAGTCAGCAGCTTTCTCCAATCCGGTTACCGCCAATTTCAGATACGGGGCCGCAATCCTTCTGGCGATCGAGGGGAAGCAGACGGCTTGAGTGCTGCCTCGCCTTTCAACTCGAAACGTAGGATGAGGCTCATTCCTTGGAGTTGTTGAAATCGAGATCATGGATGTCGCGAGCCTGGTCGGCGGTATCGGCTGGCATCCCGGGATCTGCACGCTTCATGCACCAAAGCGACGAATCAGCGAGTGTCGATTAGAAATGCCTAACCGTTTCCTCAAGAGGTGTGGAGGAGCCTTCCGAAGTCCTAATGTCGAAGAGAGCAACGAGTCTGCAGTCTCGATTCGAGGCTGGGAGTTCTATCACTGTGACGGTTTCGAGGGCTATAGCCACCTCCGTTGTCGTGGTTTCGTGCACTGCTCGGTTGGAGCCGCCTGGCTTACCGTGTCCGCAGCCGGGTTGCTGTCTTAAAGTATCCGTCGCATCGATTTGGAGGTGTCTGAAGGTTTAGTTCCGGGTCGCCAATCGTTCTAATATCCTCGGACCTTGGGACGTCTCAAGTTGTCGCAGTTCTCATCGTCCACCGAGTCTTTAGGGGCTATTCATCAGCAGAGATCTCTCCGACGACGCAGCATGGTATCTGGCAAAGTCGAAGGAAGAGAGCTTTATTGCTACCAAAGTCATACCCACACTGTTCAAACGAACTCGATCGAAAGGACTGGTATCGATACAGGGCTTCCAGATTTCAGTCTGACTCAATGTAGCAGAAAGAGTCGACGAGCGGGCGAGTCGTGTTGCGTCTGAGTGCTGCTCTACGACGCTGCGGATACAAAGGTATGAGAGCACTGCAAATCAAAAGAAGGAACCGTTCGTTATATGCCAGGAGCCGCAAACATGCCGCGCAAGCGTAATTCCGGCGTTGCGTCAGAACCACTTGACTGTCGGACGTCCCCGGCATTTCAACGGCAATCAGGACTGTTGTATGGTCCGTTAGATTCGAGGTAAGGCATGTTTTCGAGGGATCGCGAAACGATCTCTGGGGCGTCGCTGTGTTTTGAGCTTATTGAAAAGTCCTTTTTCCACGATTTCGCTCTAAATTCCTATTCTCGGATATTGCTCCGCTTGACGTCAAATCTCGTCATGGCCTTATCCGAGATCGAATCTTCAGACCTTGAAGTCTTCTTCAATTTTGGAGTTCGAAGTCTTGAGGTTCACGGATTTGTTATTATGATTGGACAGTCTATTATCCGTGAGAATGGTAGACCAGGATGAAGGAAGACCCTGATGTGCCGCATTCGATTTGTGGAGCACCTGTCAGGCCACGAAATGCCGCTCTATTTTAAGAGCAAACTACTTGAGAAAGCCGACTCAGCAGCTGCAACTCCCATATCATACGAGAGGACAAGCCGTGAAAGTAGTTGCTAAGCAATTACACATTGCTGATCACGTGACCGGCAACGCAATCCATGTCACACGAATCTTCGCACCACCATCGTGAGAACACCTGCTTTCCAGACTTTCTAGACAACCTGGCAACACTATGCGGCTCCACTAAACCTAGCAGGCTAACCTTGAAAGGAAATTCCTCAAGGAGACATGCTCTCTTCCACTGACCGTTTCCCTCACCTCCATCTAGATCTCCCTCTGCAATCCCGAACATCCGTCCTATCCGCCCACTCCCGTGACCTCTCCCTGCTTCCCCGCAAAGCCTGCAAACGGCGGAATTATTGCCGACCACCTCTCAAACAAGCATTCGCTTATTCAATCCCCCTCAGAAAATGACGATGACGTTTCCTCTAAACATCTCGAACAAAACAACAACGGAACCGCCGCGCCGCTTCGTCATCATCTGTAGCCCAGCCCGTACCCAAGCCCCCAACAACTATGTAGGTAGTAATGCTTTCTGCAATCCCGAAGGCAGGCCTTGCACCAGAGAGGGTCATAGCAAAAGCGCGTGATTCGTGGCCAGCGGACCCAACAACCCCTTCGAGCGAATCCAGCCATCCCTCCCCGTCGCCCGGGGCTAGCAAACTCGCCCGCTTTATTCCCGCCAGCTTCGGTACTAACGACAACGCGAAGGCGAATTTTGGGAGGGGGAGGGAAAAGTTAAAAGTTACGACACTTGCTAGCCAGACATCGTGACCGCTCGTCCTCAGTGTCGTTTTTCTTTCTCTACGCGTGCACATCATTGCATTTTCGTACCCCAACTCTCCATTTACTTTAGGTTGTCTACGCGTATTTCAGGGCCCGCATCGCATGGTAACGCAAACCCCCCAATCCATTCGCCGCAATGCCCTCCACCACCTCGCGGCCAAGCACGGCGAGTAGCACAAACCCGGCACGCGACTCGCGCTCCATCGATCTGGAGAAGCTGTCGTCGTCGCAGCTTGGCGGCCCCCCGAACACCCAGCCACCGAACGACGGCGGGGACGTAGACTTGGAAAAGCAAAAGCAAGACCTGCCGACGCGGCCAACCACGCTCCTCTCGCAGACGAGATCTCACCGCTCTATCGCTGGCGGCGATGGCTATACCATCTTCCCAGCCGACGCCGGCGACGGTGACACGGCGCCGCACGACTACGTGGTGACGTGGGAGGGGGGCGACAGCGATCCGTTGAACCCGCGCAGCATGAGCAAGCTGCGGCGGTGGGTGATTGTGATTATTGTGTCGAGTAGTTCGCTTAGCGTGTAAGTGATGCGCTGAGATCTAACGCTGGATTTTGAAGGGATGCAAAAGAGATTGTTCGATGAAGTCACAGTAATTGGGAAACCGGGGGTTCATTCAGTGAAGCCAGGATAGTGGGCTGACAGGTGCGCAGAACGTGCGCGTCGTCGCTCTACACGACAACCTACAGCCAAATGATCCCACGGTTCCACACTTCGCGAGAAATAGCCACGCTGGGGCTGTCGTTGTTCGTCGCAGGCCTGGGCCTGGGCCCCATGGTGCTGAGCCCCTTATCGGAAGTACGTCTCACAGAACCACGCAAAATCTTCCCCCTTCTCCTCTCTCTCTCGTCTCGCTCCAGAACCCCGTCCCTGCGTGGTCGTGGCGATTGGCTCCCCTGCCCCCTACTGACTTGACGGCCTCGACACAGTTCTATGGCCGCCGGCCAATCTACATCTACAGCTTCCTCTTCTTCCTTATCTGGCTGATCCCATGTGCCGTGGCACCCAACATCGCGACCATGCTGGTGGGCCGCTTCTTGTCAGGCCTGTCCGGCTCGGCCTTTCTCAGCGTGGCCGGTGGCACGGTTGGGGACATCTTCGCAAAGCAAGACTTGTCCGCACCAGTGAGCTTTTTCTCCGCCCCGCCTCGCGCGGCATCTGAAACACAGCCGCTAACTGAAAGATTCGATGATGATATACACGGCCAGTCCGTTCATTGGGTACGTGTAGTATTTGTAATTGCAACCACCCCCTCTCGCTGTAGGCCCCAAATTTGCGAGGGGAGATGGATTATGCAGCCAACGCTTAGAGCATTTCCCACTCCCCGCAGCGCATTCTCGGCATGACCGTTGCTTGCAGTGCTGGGGCAGCACCAAACTCGAAACCTGACGCATGAGCTAATCTTGTTTGATGTAGGCCAGAGGTCGGCCCGCTGATTGGCGGATTTATCACCCAGTATACAACCTGGCGATGGTCGTTTTACGTCCTGCTAATCTGGGCCGGGGTGCAGCTAGGCGCGATCTTCTTCCTGGTACCCGAGACATACCATCCAGTGCTGTTGCGTCAGAAGGCCCAGCGGCTACGGAAAGAAACCCGCAACGAGGCGTGGAAGGCGCCCATCGAGAATCTCTCGAGGTCGATTCCCAAGACGATTCTCTGGTCCTGCATTCGCCCGTTCCAGCTGCTCTTCTTCGAGCCAATGGTGGGTTGTGGCGCGACGTACTGAAACAGGGCAAACATCGGGCACATGACTGACACTCTCGGTAGTGCCTGAATCTATGCATGCTGTCTGCAATCCTGCTGGGGATCCTCTATCTCTTTTTCGGGGCGTTCCCGCTAGTGTTCCAGAATAACCACGGCTTCAGCATTGCCCAAACGGGCCTAACGTTCCTCGGCATGTTTGTGGGCATGGTGCTGGGGATATTGAGCGATCCGCTCTGGCGGAGGAACTACGCCAGGCTTGTGCGCCAGCGGGAGGCGCATGGAGGCGAGCCTGGCGGGTCTGAACCAGAGTACCGGCTCCCGCCCACCATCGTCGGGGCGTTCGTAGTGCCCATTGCGCTGTTTGGTAGGCCGGCCACGACTTGCGTCTAGGTGATTTGATCTGCTAGCTAACCTTGATTCACACAGGGTTTGGATGGACTACGTATCCATGGGTAAGAGAAATCGCTGATCTAACGAGGTCATATCCTGCTGCTGGACTTTCGCTGATAACCCTGGTCCTTGTTAGGTGCACTGGATAGGTACGCAAGCTCGCATGCACGCGTGAGAGGCCGAGGAGTAATAATAGCTGATCACCTGCAGTTCCAATAATCTTCTCGACCATCTTTGGCATTGGGTGAGACACTATCGATTTCCCAGCGCCCTGGCCGGTGCAGCCACGCGCTCGCTCAACAAGTTCTGGATTGCTGATCGCTGTGTGGTGAGATAGCGTCATCTGGGTCTACTCGGGCGTCTTTACGTTCCTCGTCGACTGCGTAAGTAGCTCCGAGATCGGCGGGGTGGACACCTCAGGGCAGTCGGTAACACACGTCCAGTACCCAGTGTATGCCGCGTCGGCGCTGGCCGCGAACAGCTTCGCGCGATCGAGCTTCGCGGCCGCCTTTCCCTTATTCGGGGTGCAGATGTACAACAGTGAGTTGTCTGAGACAAGCCGCCGTCGTCGCGGCCAACCCACCCTCGCGCAAAAGGGCGGTCACTGATGGTGGGAGCAGACCTGGGCTACCAGTGGGCGACATCGCTGCTAGCCTTCCTGGCATTGGCCATGGCCCCGTAAGAACCCCCATTTCGAGGCGTCCCGCGGAGCTGGGTGTGGAGTCGGCTAACGCGCGCGGTGCGACCCGCAGGTTTCCTATCCTCTTCTACCGGTACGGCAAGCGCCTCAGGGGCAACAGTCGGTTTGCGTCGTCGACGACGGGCTGAAACGGGATCAAGAGGGGCGCGCGGTCGAAATGAGTGGGTGCCGCCCCATATATAGCCGGTTGCACGGCGTGTGGTTATTGGAATTGCGACTGGATGGGACCGGGGGCGTGGCGGTCGAGGTGTGTGTGGGCCCACGTGACACAACGTGAAACATGCTGGCCGATTCGCTGTGCCAGGGCGTTGTGCGACGCTGAGTGACGCCACGAGGGCAGCCACGCCGGCGAGGGCGGCACAGAGCGCACAGGGGCGACGTCCATTGGGGGGTGGGAGCCCGGTGGGTTGAGAAACGTGGCGGGGAGTGGGGAGTCTGGGTCTGGATGGGGAAGTGATATTGTGGAGTGGTACTGGATTGATATGGGGGATATGGGGGTGCGACTGAGGGGTGAGAGGACAGGCAGAGTGAGAACAGAGACAGACTTCAGAGATGGACGATCAAAATGTACAGTAGCTGGAGCATCCTCAGACGTAGACGATGGAATTGCAGTGCTGTACAGTGGGCCGGATGGATAGCTCCATAAGCTCATTCGTCCATAAGCTCATTCGTCCATAAGCTCATTCGTCCATTAGCTCATGAGTGCATCAGGGCCATTAGTGCATATCCGAGTGCGTGTCTCATGCGCATGGGTGTTGCTTTTTCGCGGGCAATCGCTGCGAGTGCTGGGGATGCGGGAGGCCTGAGGGGGGAAAGGAGGAGTGAAGGGCCTGGTGGAAATGATAGGCCGCGGGGCATCAGCGACAGATCGCCCGCTCGGCCTGGCTCGGCAAAGTGGGAGCTGCGCCCCGGTGGGATTTGCGCTCGACGACGTCGAACAACCCACACGACACCACGGCGCCCATCCAGCGGGGAATCTCTCCACGGCGTCAATTCCACCCACCGCGAGCGCGCAGACGGGCTCCTTCCCACTGCCTCACCTCCCGCCACCGCTGCGAGCCCCGGCACGCGGCAGCCCGCGCAATTTGCGGCCCCAGACGACGCTCCCAGCCCTCAACCACCACCGCACGCCGTATCCCGTCCCACGGCAGCAGCGCTGCGTCGGCTCCCTCCAGCTGCCTGCCCGGCCCTCGATCGCCTGGTCGCGCGCCCAGTCTCGAGGCCGCCGTCCCGCCACGGCATCGCCCACCGCACCGCTCCAGCTCCCGCTTCTCTCCCCCGATGCTCGACGCTGCCGCCGCCCGCTCCGCGTCGCCATGAGCGCGCGCTCTGGACTGCACACTCTGCGATTGCATGGACCCCCGGCGCGTGCCACGGCAGCATCGTCCCATTCCTGCGTGCCGGATTGACCAGCGTCGCCGCCGCCACTGGCCTTGGGCAGCAGCCATACCGCGCGTGCCATTGGCCTCCCTCCGGTGCCACGGCAGCCCGCAGCCCACGCGTGATCGCACTCTCGAACCCCCCAACTGGGCCCAAAGAAACGAGCCCCTGCGCGCCGTGCAGTGCAGTGCAGTGCAGCGCAGTAGCAGCTATCCGCTGCCCCGGGACCCGCGCCGGCAGTGCGCAGAATAAACGTGCAAAGACACCAGCGTACCGTACACGCAGCTGCATCCGTGCCCGTGAGCGGTGCGGAGCCTGTGTCCCAAGGGCCAGATATTATGACCACCCCAGACGCCGACGATGCCTCGCCCTCGCCCGAGTACAGCGGCGACCAGGACGGCGCAGACATGGCTGACCAGAACGACCTCCGCGCCTCCAGCGAAGCCTCGCCCAACACCACCCCGTCCATCATGTCCAAGGCGAATGCAAAGGACCCGCTGCGGCCCAGGAGGAAGAAGGCACGGCGGGCCTGCTTTGCGTGCCAGCGGGCACATCTGACTTGTGGTATGTCTGTTTCTTTGAAGTGTTGATTCTGATATTGGGATATGTATCTCGGCATCACTGCCTGATATCTGACCAGACCCGTGACTGACAGCCACAGGCGATGAACGGCCCTGCAGCAGGTGTGTCAAGCGCGGCCTGCAAGATGCCTGCCAGGACGGCGTGCGCAAGAAGGCCAAATATCTCCACGACACGCCTAACGAGGCTCTCATGCCGGGCGTGGGCGGGCACTACCCTCACATCAATGGTAACCAAACATCTACAACTGGACAAGTATCTCTGCCTGACACGCCTGTCTCTGCTCAACGAGGCACTTTCTTTGCCCAGCCTCAGCCGGGCAACTTCAACATGTACCAGCAGCCGCCTCAGCATGGCCAACTTCCTCAGCATATCCCCGAAGGCCCCCCTATCGGCTCTTTCAACGGTCAGCAGACGCCCATATCCCCCACCTTTGGCCAGAACCCACAGCAAAGTCCGCCGATTCAGACGATACCGAATTCTCAAGTATCCCAGGCCAACGCATCGCAAATGCACAACTTCGGCGGGCCACTATTCGATCCCAGCGACCCTGCGTTGTTCAATTTCGACATTGCGAGCTTGAACTTCGGAAATCATTACGGTGCTCTGGAGTTTGGGATGCTTGGTCACATGTCGTCAGGAGCTGCTGACACACCACCCAGCGACAACAATCTGATGAACCCGCTAAATCAAGCGGCCAACATGTATGGACCTCAGATGTCGGGCGGATACGCTGAGAATGCAGCGGCCTCGGTAATGGCCCCTGGCGCTCTACCATATCAAACGGACGGTCTTTCGAATTCCGATTGGCAGAACTCACAATCAAGGCATAACAGCATTGCGCAGATCCAAACGCCCCACAACACACCAATGTCCGCCAACTTGGACAACATTCAACGTCATGATAGCACTACTGGCCTCCCCCATGCGTATGCGATTGGCCAAGGTCCTAGCAGTCTATCAACATCGAGTCCTGCATCTAATGCAGCGGATCTTGGTTCAAACTTCGACAACGGACCTATGTCGCCTGCTACCTTTTTCGTAAACCCGAACGGTGCTCAAAGGCCGTCACATCAGAACTACACCCGCCAGCAAATACAGCAAGCTCAACAACATCAGCAACCACATCAGCAGCCCGCTCAATCGCCATCCCAGTCTCGGCAAAGCGTGGCACTTCAGCCAATACAGTCCAATGCCATGACGCGAAAACGGCGGCGCGATACAAACTACATCTATGAAGGTATCAAGAAGCCGTATCCGTACAGCATGTCGTTCCACCGGGTGATGGGCGACGTAGCCACTCGGATCTCTAAAGACAAGCAAGCCCGGATCGGAAAAGCCATGGCCACATTCCGGCCCTCTTTCGTGGCCTGCTCGAAAGAACTCGACGAAAACGACCTCATCTTCAGCGAGAAGAATCTCCAACGGCAACTCTTAACCCTCGAGGACTCCATCGACCACCTTGGCACCCCGACTCTTGTCCTGCGTCGCACAGGCGAGGTGGTGGCGCTCGGAAAGGAATTCACCATCCTCACCGGCTGGCCCCGTGAAGTCCTGCTCGGCAAAAACCCGAATCTCAACGTCAATTGGGGCAACAGTCCGAACGCGAGTGGCAGTTCTACGCGCATGACGCGCTCACCTTACATTCTTCCGGGCAAGAACCCAGACGACGAAGACAACGGCCCCCGCCCCGTCTCCATCGTTGAGCTCATGGACGAAGACTCCGTCGTGCAATTCTACGAAGACTACGCCACCATGGCCTTCGAAGACTCACGAGGATCAAAGAGCCGCTGCGTGAATTTCCTGAAGTATCGCACGAAAGAAGACATGATGCGGTTCGAGGAGCTGGCGAAGCATGACGAGAAGAACGGGAACGGGAATGGGCATTCGGGCGGAGGCAAGGGGGAGACGGTGGTGAAGACGGAGAACGCGATCCACAACGAGGCGGGCATGTACAAGCTGGGCCAGAAGGAGGGGATGGTCAAGTGCATGTGTGTGTGGCATATCCGGCGGGACAACTTTGATATGCCGATGTTGATTGTGATGAATGTAAGTTTTTTTGCTTCTTCCCTCGGTTCTCTGGATGATGGCTGATGTGGGTTGCAGATCTTGCCGTGGATCTGAGTATCTTCTGTTCGATTTTCAATATCGACGCGCCTAAGCCACACCACACTATTCCGGCAAGACAAGTCGAGCCCGGGTTTCCAACACGGCATTCACAAAAACACGAAAGGTCCCTGAAGCACTCCTAGGCCTCTACCTGCCTGCCCTACCTCATATCCCGAAGTTCCGAAAAAGGCATCCCTCCACCAGAGACCCGGTTCCGGGCCTTAGTCAGACTTTTTATCATTCTTCACCCAGCGAAGCCGTGGCTTTTATCGTTTCTTTCTTTCTTTCTTTCTTTCTTTCTTTCTTTCTTCGTATCCGGCACACGAGGTGTCTGGTCTGGTCTGGCACGCACGCACGCACGCACGCACGCACGAACTGCTGACGTCTGTGGGGCTACGCCGCTGTTTTTCTCGAATGTCGTCTTAGTCCTTACCTTAAAACTTGTTTTTCGTCTGATTATCTAATTTGCTACTGGTGCCTTTGATCATGGGTGGTGTTTTTTTGTGCTTTCGAACACGAGGTTTCTAGGTAGTGTGGTATTGGTGTGGAGGGTATGTTTGCATGGTTCCAATGCGTTAGTTCGCATGTTGAAAAAAAAATTGGGGATATTGGGTATTCGTTGTTCATATTTTGGATTATTTTTGGGTAGGGAGGGGGTTGGGTGTTGATATCATTTGTGTGGCGAGGGGGGTTTTTTTTTTTTTTTTTTGGGGGGGGGGGGAGTATATCTGGGTAGTGTGGGGTAGATGAATGAGAGGGTTGTGAGAGATTGTGTCCTGTGTTCTGACTTGAAATGATATGAGCGGCTCGATTGGGGAGGATTTTGCAATAAAAGGCGGCGAGGAGGGGCCTCTGTGTGGAGAACGGCTAGGGCGCTGGGTCTACACCGCGTCTAATTAAAATTGACATGTACGGTTCGATTGAGGAGTATTTGTAATTGAAGGGGGGCGAACAGGTGCCTCAACATAAGAGTGATTGGGAGCGCGAGGTAGGCTCCATATACACCGCGTCTTAACAAAACCGTTCCGTGCGGTGCGATTGGGGAGTATTTGTAATAAAAGGGGCCAAAGAGGTGCCTTAGTGTGGGAGGCGTGAGGTAGTCAACTTGGTGTCGAAGGCAACGTTCGACGTCTGGACCCTTCTTGAAGTTGCATCCACTCACCTTAACGTAGCTACCTTAATGATAACTAACACCTCTGAACGACTGCTTTGAAAGGGATGTAGGTCGCACCACTGCTTAATCCGGTGTGCTTTAGTTGGCTATAATACCCGCAGAAGTCCTCTGCGTACCTTTAAGGTAACCGCTGAGGTGGGACCCTTTCAAGAGGGTCCCCCTCTCACGTTGGAGACTCGAGTTCGATCCTCGGCGCCAGACAGCTTAGATTTTTATTTTTATTGGCGTTTGGCACAGATGGAAATTCCCTCACCCACTTCCACGGAGCATTATGTGAGATGCGGGCGGAATAGGAGGGAAGGGGGTGTGTTGGTAATGTCTACGAATATTCTTGAGATTAGGCCGTTCCTGATCTATACATACGCCGGTCGCTTGTCTAAAGATATCATCCGCACCACCTGGTTCTAAGAACCGTGACTCCGTGATCTATTCGTGTTCGTGCTTTGCTGAGGCTTCTCTCGCATATAGCTTCAACTATCCTCTTCTTCTTTGCCGCCGCGCACTAGCCACCCGTCCTCCTTCCAGGCTTTATACGCCTCCCGCTCCAGACTCTTCTCTGCGACCTTGATGTCCGTCCGGATGTCGTCTATCAAGCTCTCCTTGCTCACATAGTCGTATTCTGGGCGGATGTACCCTAGTATAGACAGCGAGAGCCTTGCGCCATAGAAATCCGACTCGAAATCATGCATAATATGCACCTCGACACTCCGAACCGTGTTCTTATAGTACGGATTGTAACCGAGCGACATCACCATGGGGTAAATGGTAGTCGTAGGTGAGGGGGAGGCGATGGTCAACGCCGACCACCCATAGTAGATGCCTGATGCGAGGTCCGAATGGCCGCCGACGTCGAGGCCGGAGATCGGGATGTTGGCGGTTGGGATGCCGAGCTACTGGGGACGGTGGGGGGTTAGTTTGGTGTGACTCTAGAAGAGTGGAATAAGATGCGATAAGTGTGAGAGGGAAAAGAGGGGGAGGCGGATAGGAGGAGAGGAAGGGGGGGTTGTCTTAGATTGGGGTGTTCGGAGACATTGGGGGTGCGTTATTTTGCCGCCCGACGGGGTACGAGGGGTGTGGGACGCGGGATGGTGCAGTGCATTGCATGATGTAGTGGAGAGTCTCGTGTATGTTGTGTTGGTGTTGGCCCCACGTTGCCTGGGTTTGAAACAAGTGCGAGAGGTGAGGGGTTTGTGGAAGTGAGGGTAAGAGAGAGAGGGGAGGCATGTGATATAGGAAGATGGTAAGATAGTGGGATAGTGAGACTAGTTCGAGGAAGAGGAAAGCGTGTAGAGAAGAAGCCATACCTCTGCGCTGCCTCGTCCAAAGCCTTTGATGACTTCGCCGCTGAGCTTCAGCGGGAAGGGCGATTGGGGGGTGTCTAGGCCTGCGATCGGATCGCGGGGTCCTGATGGTGGAGGCATGGTGGGCCGTGGGGCTTGACTGAGCGTTGGTGTCGAGGGAGGAGGAACGATGGATGTGTATAGCTTCTTTGGTGTTGAGTATCGTCAGAGAGCTGGTGGGGCATCCGATCCGTCGGCAGCGATCCCACGGCCCGAGCGCCTGGCGCGAGAGTCATCGAACTGGCCTGTTGGGCTACTCCCTTCCAGCCCTCCTATTAACTTCCCATGCTAACCTTCGCGTTCCTCTTAGATTAGCTTTTATAGCTATATATGTAGTACGTTCTTTATACCTCTGCGGGGCTGCTGCGGAAATGCCGTCCAGCACGAAAACGGCTGAACCGGTCGTATTCTGTAGAATCTAGTATGCATCAACATCTTCGCTTCATGCTCCTTCAATTATCTCTTCCTCATCACACTCCTTCGATCGAGTCCGAGACTGCCTGCGCGCCTCTCCCAGCCCATCACTCATTGCATCGCCACTCGGCCGGCCAACTTTCTCAGAGTCGCCAGCTAGCATAGCTCCACTGAAGCAACTCCGCAACACCTCGCGTTCAACGTACATGATAACGGCAATCCACCACACAACTCTTTTCCAACCTACCTCTTGTCCACATTATTGCTGAGGATGGCATCGCTCCCTAAGTTTAACCTCTCCAAACGTGATTCGTAGATTCCAAGGTTCATTGAGTCTCTTCTTGGCCTTCTTGGCCGTCTTGGCCTTCACCCCCGAAATGGCTACAAGGAATAGTCTTGTCCTCAGCCTCGTCCAACAACCACCGAGCGCCCAGCGGGAGCCGATCTCGAAGTCTCGGCAGCGTCGCCAAGTCGCTCGCATGCGAAGTTGCTATGATTCAATACAGCCACACGACTAGGGCTGAGGTCTCGCCGCCCTCCATAGAGCTGCTGTTGGCAAGTATAATTCAATCTCAGCCCCAGCGCCCGAGGCTTTTCAATTTCTTCTCCTAAATCTGTGCCAAAATGTCGTTCAGAGACATGACCGCGCTTCTACTCATCATCGGCTCGCCTCTGGTTCAAACCGCAGCTTCAGGGGCTCAGACATTTGCTGCTGTCATCATCACACCCCCTGTATTGCAGCCTCGCGGAGAGATTGACGCAAATTGGATTGGTTATAAAGTGGTCGGCACAGGAGGAACCTGTACGTCTCGCGTAAAGAAGCGCCTCAAGGACGCCACTGATCTTCCACAGTTTCGCCGTATTACTGCGCTGACGGATTCGCCTTTTCGACATCGGACACCTACGGCGCATGCTGTACTCTAGGCTTTGTCAACTGCAGAGGCCCTACGACGTGCCCGTCTGGAACCCTCATATGGCCGGACGCCTACAGCACGTACTGGTAGGCGATCCTAGTCGGCGAAAACGCCAAAAACGCGTCCTGACATAGAGCTAGTGGCCAGGGCTTCCTCTGTTCCACCGGCACAGTTGGCGGACTGTATGATGCAGTGGCTACCACTAATCCTGCACCTTCAATTAGTGTGATTTGGTGTGCCTCCGAAGCCACGGAGTGGACGGCGTGGAACGAGGTTACGTATGTGAAGGCCGCGATAAGTGAGTGACGCACAACTGGAGCAGTCCCTTTGCACAAGCTGAACGTTGTTAGATACTGATGGAACCCCTGTGTACATCGCTGAGACCGCGGCGTCCATAACCAGACCTACAACTTCCCAGTTGTCTACGACATCCACTCCGCCGTCATCCACCGGTGCGAGCCCGGGATCGCAGACCCCATCTACGGCCCAAACTTTCACGCCGACGGGATCACAGAGCAGTTCCGGCCAGTCACCATCGCCAACTGCAGCCGCAGCCGGTGGCCCCAAAGACAACGGTCTTGGCGTCAGCACCGGCGCTCTGATTGGCATTGTGATCTCAGCAGTATGCAGCGTAGTCGGTCTTGCATTTGGAATAGGGTTTAAGATCTACAAGTATCGCAAAGAACAGAAGAGGCAAAAGGCGGCTGCCGCTGGTTTGGGATGAGAGCTGAGACTTCAATAACGTATCATCAATGGAGGACGGTAAGTGTAAGTACTACCGGCTTAGAGGTACACAGAGGCTGAACAGATTTAGTATCGCATATATGGTTCGAATTAGCTGTGTTCTGACGAGAGCATCGACAGCATATCTGCACGCGAACGACGAGCTTGAGATATGAGCCATGTAGAGTGGAGTAAAGATGATCTCCAACGGATTATACGTATCATCGAGAGTCAAGATATCGTACAAGTCCGACTTGCGCTTCGCTATTCACCCGTGCGACCGGATCGACTGAGCAAACAGAACCGAGAATAATAAACCGCTCAAATTCCCACGTATCCAACGCCGTACCATGCCGCTGGATGTGCTGCACATTTCGTCCGCACACACAAAAGCTCTCAGAATGCGCTCTTCTGTACGTCGTCCACCAGACACAGCATCTCAATTATTTCGCACCCTTCACCTATACCATCGCGGTCTCGAAGTCAGCCTTCCACGACTCATCTGATAATCGCTCGCCTCCGCCCTATTCCTCGTCGGCGTCTCGTCTTCACGCTGTGCTACTAAGCGACGACCTCATCCGGTGCGGCCTCCTTCACATCCACCCGGTTCGGCCGCTTGAAGTCCGTGCGAGCTGGTGCATTGAAACCGGCGTGAGTTTCCATGTTGGTGAAGTTGGGCTGTGCAAAGCGGTAGCTTTGCGGTGGTGTGTCAGGAGCCTTTGCAGATTGAACTTGCGGAGGGGAGTCGTGATTGGGGTTGTAGTCGGTTTTCAAGTGAACCTGGAGGATGGGCGCTGAGATGGGTGTGAAGAAGAACATTGCTCGTTTTCGATTCTGGGATAAATGGATCGATGCGAATTTTGTGGGTGGGAATGGTGTAGACGGCAAACCTCCCAAATGATATATATGTGCCCCCACGCTCCGCCCCACGGCAGTGTCGGAAGGAAAACCCACCAACACGCTTCCCACTGACCATCACGGATCGCCCTTTGGCGGTTGTAACGCGGCTGTGGCGCGATGTCACCCGGGAGTGGCATGACCTCCTGCTGAGCTTACTTAATTTCGGGCACAACACATATTATCATAACGAGATAAACTGGTAGGGAATGTGTATATGCGCCTCCAGCTAGTAGCTAGTTTTCTAGCCTCGTCTCTGACCTTATCATCATCACGTGCCCTTGACTTCCATTTGCATTTCAATATGCCCCGCTAAGCCCATAATCTCAGCCAGTCATCAGCATTAGCTGCATTAGCGTCATTCTCTGAAGCATAGGTGGTGTTTTTGGTGTTTCCTCGAGCTCTGATCCATCGACAGCAGTCTCTCGGCCCGAGTACTAGAGTGGGTGAGTGGATCAGGGAACTAGCACGTGGGCGGTGAGATCGTGACCATTCTCACCGTCTGATTCGCCAAGACTTAGACGCTTACTAGAGACGGTTTGATATCACAGACGGTGCTCGTTAGGTCCCGATCTTGTATTGCAGAGATGTACCCTTTGTAGTCAATTTAATACTCGCGGATCTTCTAACGCTCCGGATCTGAATTCACCAAATCCATGGCGGCGATCAGGGCAGCTGAGACCAGCCAGCCATGGCAGTCACGATGGCGTGCGCTAGTTGATAGCCATCGCCACTCTCTGAACCGGGCCTTTCTCCGCCTTCGATACACATCTCTCGTCAAAACTGACAACCTCAGGCTCTCCATCCCTCCCTAAAACTAACTCCTTCAAACTACCACATCTCTACCGCCCTTCACCATGCCTGAGAATATGAAAGCCTGGGTCTACGACGGCGCCGCCGGAGGCCTCGAGAAGAACCTGTACCAGCCTGCCGTTTACCACAAACCTCTCACGGCCTCCCTTTCCAATCAACAAGTCATGGTCGAAGTCATCAGCATGGCGCTCAACCCCGCCGATTACAAAATCCCAGAACTCGGCCTTATCGCCAAAGCCATGGTCTCCACCCCGGCATCCCCAGGCATGGACTTCTGCGGCCGTGTTGCAGAAACCGGGCGCGCTATCGACTCTCTCCAGATCGGCGAACTCGTCTTCGGCTACACCGGTGGACCCATCAAGTTCGGTACTCTAGGCCAATTCTGCGTCGTTCCCAAAGACGGCTGCATTCCTCTCCCTGCCGGCGTCGACGTCGACGATGCGGCCGCGCTTCCCGGTGCTGGCCTGACCGCGTACCAGTCCATCAAGGGCAACGTCAAGGAGGGAGACAAGATCTTCATCAACGGCGGTTCAGGAGGCGTCGGCACCTTTGCGATCCAAATCGCCAAGATTCTTGGCTGTCACGTGACAGTCTCGTGCTCTGGCGCGAATGCGGAGCTGTGCAAGAGCATTGGGGCTGACGAGGCAATCGACTACAAGTCAGTCGACTTGATCGAAGAATTGAAGAAGAAGGGGGAGGTCTTCTCACTCGTGATCGACAACGTCGGTACTCCAACTGGCTTGTACAAAGCATCGAACTCGTTCTTGCTCTCGAACGGCAAGTACATTCAGGTGGGCTCCGAGATGTCCCTGTCAGCGACAACCAACATTGTGGGCAACTTCATGACCCCGCGGTTCTTCGGCGGTGGATCCCGCAAGTATGCGTTCGCTAGTGTTAAGACGAATTACGAGGATTTCTTGCAGCTGGGCAGGTGGATGCGAGATGGCAAGTTGAAGGCTGTGATCGATTCGAAGTTCGAATACGAGGATGCGCGGAAAGCTTTCGAGAAGCTAAGGACAGGTCGTGCGAAGGGGAAGATTATCATCCACGTCGGAAAGAAGTGAGACAAAAACACGGGATCCTGCAGGAGTCGGGGTTCCAGGTTTCTATCCAATCAGCTGGGCGCACCTGAGGGAACGTTCACTCAAGGTCATTCCTTTACTTTCTACGATAACCCGGATTGGGTTTGTTGTCTCTTCCAAGCAATCACGATGAGATGAGTTCTTTTCGTTCTGAACTTTTCGGTTGGGCTGGGCTAAAACGAGGTATATGTGAACTGGTTTTTCTTTCTTCCACGATTTCTTTCTATATTAGTAACCTCGTTCAGGCAATCATGGCGAGGTGTCTCTGTTTCATATAATGACTTTGTTTAAGCGTTTCTGAACAATCAATTTCGAGAATTCATACAACCCTAGCTGAGCCACCTAACATATTCCTACGGAGCACATGTCGTGTCAAATTTCCCAAAAGCTACCTGGCCCTCAACCTCCTTCCCTACTTCCAAACTATTCATAATCTTCAATACATGTCCCGCAAACTCCTCCGGCTCAAACGAGTACCACGTATGATTCCCCGGCACCCTAAACCTCTCACACCCCAAAATCCTCGCCTGCTCCACCCCCGTCCTTATATACGCCGCCTCCCCACTCCCTGTCCCCGACGCTACCGCGATCCTCACCCCCGCCTCCTTGATCTTCAGCATCTCGGGACAATAAATCGTCGACTGGATATACTCAAACTCCAGAAACATCAGCTGATCCTGCCTCCGGGACCCAGACTGCACAATCGGATCCACCGCCTTCAAACCCTCATGCCCCACCAGCTTCTTCGCGAAAAAAGCCATCGCCGCCTCCGCGCCCTCCGTCACCCGGATACCCTGCACCTGGAAGCAGTAGTCGATCTCCGCGTTCATCTCTGCTCGTGGGAGCAGCGCCATCGTCGGCGCTTCGTGCACGATGACGCTCTCCAGCACGTCAGGGTAGCTGGCCGCCAGCTGCAGCGCCAGCACGCCGCCGAGGCTGTACGACTAACTTATCTGAAAGGTTAGTAGGCGAGGTCAGAAGAAGCTATGCCCGGTAAAATGCTTCGGCTAATTCGAAAGGCGAGATATCTAGCCGATGGCGAATCAAACGGTAAATCAATGCATGTCTCTGGAGTTAGACCTGTATGTACGTCGTGCGAGCTCGATATTTGTCAGACTGCTGAAAAATAGGTGTATCCCGGAACTTGGTTGATACCTGTGTCCGGAGGACGGTTGTCCGTTGCTGAGTGGGCGTTTGAACACGTGATATATGCGGATATTCATCACCCCGGCGGGAGGTTATACGCTCCGCATCACTCTATGTTGTCCATACTGAGGTTATTATAGGGTTGTTTCTTTCTTAAAGTAATATGCTATGGTTTCCTGTATACTTGTTCATGGTTTCTAGTAAGCACTAAGCGACCATTGCTAGTCTCTCTGTCACATGCAATTCCCCCATCGATCCAGAGGAATCTCAGAACCTTTTGCTACTTTTGGAACTATTTTGACCGTATCAGGTTTGCAAGAACTGTAGGTGGTACCCCTACCCGCGAGAGCCCTCAGCTCATTCCCTTATTAATCGTAAAACCCCTGGCCTCATTAGCGAACAAATCACCTATCAGAAAAACATGAACTTACCCATCAACAAACAGGTTATGCCCGTTCACCAGGCTCATCCTTGGGGTCAACAATACAACCGTATCTCCGATCTCCTCGACCTGCCCAGTCCTACCTTGCCTGGCTTCGAATGCGGTCCACATATCTTCACCCGGCCCGCTAGTGGCATCGGCTAAGCCTGCGACGATTGCTGTTGGTAGGAAACCCGGCGGGATTGCGTTGACTCTGATGCTGTGGCTGCGAGCTTCTAGTGCAGCCTAGAAGTCGTCAGTCAAGTAAATACAGAACATCTATGCCGACTCACTGTCTTCGTGACACCGAGACAGGCGTGCTTCGATGCGGTATAGGCCGCGCTTCCCGCTATAGACTGAAGGGAGTTCACTAATGCGCAGTTCACGATGGAGCCTAGTTGGGGGTCTCGTCCCGGCTCACTAACAAACGTTGCTTAGTACTTAGTGTCATATCCGTGGAGTGGTCATGGATGACATACACTTCAATTGATGTCTGCGTCATCATCTGCCTCAGTTCATGCTTCGTGCAGAAGAATACACCTGACACGTTCAAATCCTGGACTTTTGGAAGTGTTCGAGGGTGCCGTCGATAAGGAGGCACCACCACCTGTTATACCGGCAAAGTTTCTGACCTTCGTTAGTTTGTGGAACAGACTTGAGAGTTGCATCTTACGCGGCGTAATCGATCCTCCCGAGTTCCGCAACTGCTTCCATAATGGCTCTTTCTACATCGTCTTCTTTCGTCACATCCGCTCGGATAGTGAGGCACTGAGATAGGTCAGCACGCCAACTTTCACGAGCTTTTGAGCTCGCTCAAAATGTACTTTTGTCCCATACTCTTCTACTTTCTTTTTGCCCACGTTCATCGTCTCTTCACCCTGGATGTCCACGATAGCAACGCCTCCCGAGCCTTCTTTTGCAAAGGACACGGCGATGGCATTTCCTAGGCCTCGGGCTCCGCCGATGATGAAAGCTATGCCTAGTGCAAGGGGACCGGAACGCCGTGACATTGTTTCTGACAGATGAAATGAAGATTATGTAGAATTGAGTTTATATGAGATAGCGTTCCGTAATTTTGTTTTGGCGTAGACCCTGCACTCCGCCTTTATGATGGGCTACGAAGAAAGCGGAGACGGGTCTGTATTACCGCACACTCAACTTTTCGTGACGCTGGAGGTGGGGTTGCTCCAATGCGGTACGGAACACAAAGCGCTGATGTGGGATTTGGAGATAACGGAAGAAGTGTACTACCCGGTGCTCTTTGCGAAGCATACTGTCGGTTCTGATCTTATCCCCGCGAGTTTTGGTACTCTCTACGAGCAGGGGAGCTTCGTGGTGATGGCTGCTGAACATCGCCGACCCCGCAGGTTGTCACGGGCGAGGAGTATTGCTCGAGGTGGTATCTGGGTCTACATGTTCTTGAGCGTTACGCGGCCTACAAACTCGATTTCAGGTTAGTCGGAATGTGACTTTGTCTGAGAGGTCTAATTGATATGCGACAATGATGTTTTCTAATTCCTGAATAATCAAGGGGGTTGATAATCTCACACCTCCTAATCCCTCCACGCACACCACCTCCCCCTCTTGGCGCTTCACCACCTTCTGATTGGCTCGGAGCAGTGCGGAGGAAGCTCCGGGCATTCACCTTTACGTCTCTCTACACGTGATGCTATACGCAAGGCCGTACGTGATGCTATACGCGAGGCCGTACGTGATGCTATACACGAGGCCGTACGTGAGACTATACGTGAGCTCGTACGTGAGGCTATACGTGAGCTCGTACGTGAGCTTGTACGTGAGCTCGTACATAAGGCTATATAAATTGGCATGATGTAATTGCTTGTGTTGTACATGGCCGCATTTGGAGAGAGCATTCGGAATTAGTGAGCGAGTTAAGCGAGCGAATCGGAGGCTACGCAGCAGTGCTCCGAGCCAATCAGAAGGTGGTGAAGCGACAAGAGGAGGGGGGGGGCGGGGAAGGAAAAAAAGGGGGGACATGAACAAAAAACAGAATCAACACTAAGTGCCCCCCACCTAAAATGCCATAAAAAAAGAAAAAGATCAAGGAGTTTGAGGCGCGAACACCCGAAGAATACATCCCAGAAAAAAAAACGAGTACAAAAAAAACTGAACCTCGCAAAAGCGCAAGCGGAAGACAAAACACCGACCGACACAGATTAGCATCTAGCGCCGAACCACCCAAACAACACCCAGCCCCGACTAGCAGCAAACGACCAAAACCCACCAACCCACCCAAAACAACGCATAACTAGACACGATGCGAATACACAAGAGATCAAGACCTGAGATCGAATCACCCCAAACTAGCCACACGAGAAGAAGCACCACCGCCCCCAAAACCACAATCACCAGATACCCCCCCACCGAGGAACCACAAAGCGCATCCCCAACGACGGCCAAACCAAAAACCCCAAAGAACAGTAGCAAAAAACACAATACCAGAGATGAGCGAGGCGAAAAGAAGCGAGAAAAGCAAAGGACAAAAAACGCAATTGAAGAAAGAGAAAGCCACCGGAAGGCGAACCTACAAGAACACCTACGAGGAAACAAAGCCACGTACCAAGACTACCAGCAATGCGATGACCCCAAGGAAGCGAACACCTAGGAATGCCAAGCCAACAGAAGGCTTGGGAGACGGGGCCGTCGACACAACCGCCAAAACGAAGCGCGCAGCGTCAGACAGGAAAGTGCCGTATGAAGCAGAGCACAGAGACAAACAAAAAAGCAACCAGAGGACAGAA